AATTCTGTAGGATAGTCTAGATATTCTTGCGTGAGGCAGAGCGGACTTGGAGCTCCTTGGGTGACCCACATGATCTTCTTCGTTTACAACTGATCTGATCAATATCTGATGGGGGCAATTTTCTGGGACAAGGGCAAGAGAAATGAGGCACACTTTAATAAGGCCTTGACATCTTGTGAATAGCGTTGGTCCAATACTTGACATCACTTGGATCTGCAATATCAAGTGACCTTCTTTGTGTAAACAGTCTGACAATAAGCTACTGCGTGGTGTAGTATAAGCACTATCGAAATCAAAATCAAGGTTCCTCCTGTCCAACCAAGTGATCGAATTGTGCGAGGTTCACTGACATGACATGTTGAGGCCCATCTCACAACCAGGCACGCAATACCTTGCCTGCAGCCCTGCCCTGCCTACACCCTTGGAGCTATCGTGTGGTGGGGAGCTGTCAAGGGGACAAGGGGGCACCAGGTGCCCAGGCATGCATGCATTCGTGCGAGTTCCAGAATCCTCGCAGAAGCACGGCCCTTCCATCCCTTATCATCACCCATCACGACAGGCGTGCCCAAGTCTGGGGTAGTTGTTGTGTGGACTGGACTGGATTTCCCATGTCGAACTGTACCAAGTTGGCGAGGATAAACCGCCGTTATCGAGCAACCACAATGCAATTTATTTACTACCCTTTCCCCACATGCGCATAACGGCGGTTCCCGTGTGTTTCGTACGAGTCGTTTTGCGGCTGATGATAGAGCTGAGTACAGACTACAGAGATCTGGCGTTGAGATGTATGCACAGCAGAGGCACCGGCCCGGTTTTCAAAATGCGTTGATGGGAATCAAACCAGATGCCCGGGCCGGTAGTTGATTCTCCAGTGGAATCGAGGGTAATTGACTTATATCGCCGAATACTTCAGCACTGTCCTTACTGAAGGTATCAGGCCATGAAAGCATACGCCAATATCACGTATACAGCACTCAGACGTATGCGCACTTGATACATTCCCAACAGGTTCACGCGGCAAACATACAAAGCGACAAAGATGCTACACACTTCTGCAGAATGCATACTGTTTCTGTTCTTAGTCTTCGAGTTCAAAGATCTACCGCTCATCCAAAACCAGCCAGCCCAGAACGCCCACGGGCAGGGTATTAATACAAGTAATCCGTCTGAAACACATGGCATTCTGATCTCCATCAGCTTTCATTCATGTGAGGAAGCCTGTGTAAATCACTGCGAACAATGCCTCCTCAACGCAAGGTTGCTTGAAGGCATGTCGTGACAACGCCCCGTCTTTTCCCATTACGCCATCCTGCGAAACTGCATCATCGGTCCTGATCGTAATTCTCAATATGGACTAGATCAAGGAGTGATGCAATGTAAGGGCTCTGCGATCTTGATTAGTATAAGTACTTCATGGCAAACGGTAATTGTATTTGATAGACATACCAAGGCCCTGTTCTCTGCAAGGATCTCAAACAGTCGCGGTAGCAGAGGGCGAAAAAGAACTTCGTTCCAACCTCCTATTTCACCCACTTTCTCTTGATTCTTGACCATCTCTTCCTCAGCCTCCGTTTTGACCACATTGCGAGCAATGTTCCTTAGCACTAGCGCAGCGCTGAGTGGAATACCAGCTGCCTGGGGCGGGAGGTTTGGATTTCGCTCATCCCGTGCTGTTGCAGTTTCCTCGAAGGTCACAGCCATAGTCTTGGCGGGAATAATCCATGAACGCTCTGGTTTTCGACTGAGCGCATCGTTGGGCAATGCTGAAGAGATGTGCGTGTTGATGTGTCTCGCGAAATCCTGAAGGTGCAGTTTGGTGGACTTGGGATAGCGGGAGCACTGATCCCAGGTACAAATGTATTCCTTCTCGACGTTGTCGAATTGCCCCCCTTCATTTCGCTTCTCTCCCAGATGGTCCACGAGCATGTGCTCCCAAAGCTTCTCAGGCTGAATGTAAAAGTTGCCACATTTCTCAAGCTTATTGTTAGGATTTGAGGCCCAAAGGCATCGCCCATACTCCTTGCCATCCAAGCCAAGAGGTTTTGGTCTTGCACGGATGCCGTGGATGATGAACTTTTGTTGCGGATCACCAGGCTCTCTGAGGACCTGCGCGTTTGAATCCTTGTATACAGACGTACTGTTCCGGATGAAATCGGCAGGTGTGATAAGAGGCTGATTGATGACCTTGAGTGGTGCGACAAATGCGTTTTGGTAGGCCTGCCAGGCGGCTAGTTGTGTGACAAAAGAGTTATTGTCCTCCTCGAAGAAGCAGCGAACCCAACGGTGAACACGATCTGGCTCTTCAAGCTTGAGCATCTCCTGAAGAAGATCCTGAGGCATAGGAGCAATCTGGTCACGAGCGGGAATTCTTTGCTCGGGCACAAGAACAAACTCGCGTTGTGTCTTACGAGCACCATGAGCCAGGAGGCGTGCAAGATGATCAATGAGGTTTTCTGGCGTCAGAGACCGGACCAAGGTGTCCACGTTGGACACAACAGCAGTGTACTGATAGAGGAAATCGAGGCACGCGTCGATAAGCTCATCATCGTTGAGCAAAAGCCAACTGGAAAGTCGCTGGAGCACTTGCCCAGGAACATTGCTTAGCTTGTTGGTAGCCTCGAGATTCATGGAGATGCGCCCCAACGCCCGAAGAGACGTCAGAATGACACCGCGGTCGTCAGACGCCAATTGCTCCAACAATGTCCTATACATGGGGTCTTCTGAGTCCAATGTCATGAACGGCGTCAACTGCTCAGCAATGTCCAGGGCAAGATGTTTCAGTTCCACAAGAGAATCCTTCTGCGGTAGATTCAGAATGATACAAATGAGATCCTTGATGGGAGGGAAGTCTGATATGTTGTGAGCGTTTTCAGGCAAGGTGACCATGTTCCGCAACGTCAGGACAGCTTCAGTGATCAGCACCATATTGTCCGCAAATGGCTCAGTTTGCAGAATGTCGGGTACATCCTTCTCAATCAGGTTTTCGATACGCTCCAGGATATCTTTTGTCCCATAGTTTCCATCGAGGGCACTCGGGTCACTAGAGTCATATGGAAGGTTCCAAGATATGCGCCAGTTGACGTGGTAGAACAGATGTCCCACCTCAAGGGCTTTGTCAACTAGACCTTCGGCCAGACCGGGGAACGAGTCGAACTTGTACTTGTCACCTCGCTCAAACGATATTTTGACCAGATGACTGAGCGCAAAGGCTTGTTCAGCGGGAATATTTGATCGCAAAGCGTTCAGACACCTCATGTAAATATTTGGGCCATCAAAACCGGCTAATACACCTAGTTAGTGGGAGAAAAGCACAAAATTACGGGTGAATGCTCACTGCCAGGTTGCATCGGTTGACGAGGGTCAATGCGCGGAGTTTGGCGTGGCTTCTGAAACTCGGTGGGCGCATTGCTTGGGGTTGGCACTGCGCGCAGTGTTAGGGGTTTAGAAAATCGCGGCTGATAGGCAGTGACCAAGTTGGATGTATTCTCAGTGTTAGTTGGGTGGTGAAGAACCGAGGGACCTCGGTTTCCCTGATAATTCTGTTGTTGGTGCTGCTGAGGTATGTGCATGTTTGGGTGATGCGAAGGGGTCTGAGGAGGGTTCGCGGCCGGTGAGTTGGTACTGCTCGCATGGTGAGCAGAAGAATGACGGGTTGTTCGTGAAGGTCCAGTATCCGGTTGAAAGATGACACGCTGAGGAGGCGCCTCACGTAGTCCTCTGGAAGCACGCGCACTGGCAGCAGTGTCTGGCACGGGTCGCTCGCGGACGGGTGTACCATCGTCTCCCGAGGCCGCTGAGTCTGTGGCACCAACGTTGCTCTCTCTTTTCTTCCCCCAGAAATTCTCCCTTGTGCGTGACAACAAGCCAGCGCCTTTAGCCGTCACATCCTCCAAGATATCTTTTGGTGGAGGTTCCTTTCCATGTACTGTGCTGATCTCAAACGCAGCCAAGTTTTTGTAGAACTTTTCCTTCAACGAGAAGGCCGTGGAGGCTTCATTGTTAGAATATATACCCAGCTCTGACGCCATACGTCGCCATGCGAGCTTCTCCTCCGAGATCTTGTCATAACCGCCACTCTCTACGACGTGATTGAAGACCTTGAGCAAGTCAACATGCGTTGCGCCGACCTTGGGCTCTGGATCAAGTGTTGTCCCTCGCTTGGAATGATATTCACGGAGTCGCGACATAAAATCCTCGTATTCGGGCGTGCGATCTATCGTGTGCGGTGGCACTTCATTGCGAACGGGCGCCATATTGAGAGGTCGTGCGGTGAACTGATTATGCGCGGGTGGCTAGAAACAGGATACGAAATGCGCAGTCGCGAAGAAGGGGGAAAGGTCTCTTGTCGTCGAGCTGCGTTGAATGTCGTGCAGTCACGAAAGGTTTCCACGGACAGGCGCTTCCACCCAGCGTCTAAAAGGCTTAAATGGCCTCTGTATCAATAATTAGCTGGTTTTTAGAGATACCGTGGGTGCTTGTAGCTTGATCCACGAATCTCAAATCGCATGGGTCAGTCGCTGATAGTTTGGTTTGGCGCGGCGCGTCGAAGTTCTTGGGGTAAGATTGCGCTAGCTTATCTCCACGTGACTCTTAGTCACAACCTCCATGGTGGGGAAAATGGTTCTCTTGTTCGTTAAGGTAAGGTAGGCAGTGAATTAAGGTATTCATCACTTTACCTCAATTTCTCCTGACCAAAGTTGAAGTCGTTAGATCCTTTTTTTGAGGTGGACTTATCGATCTTTGCTTAAACACCCAGGTGCCTAGATAAGCTACTAAGCTAGCAAGAAGGATGGGTGGCCGTGTCGCGGCAGGTAGTACTTGCTTCCTACCTATCAAGTGCTTCGGAAGGAGAAGCCGAGTCCTCAAATCAAAGCCCAATTGCACAGCACAAGGCGCGTAAGACTGTGTCTCCTCGAGCTCTGACCCAAACTCGATCAAAACCTATCTCATTTGCTCTGCAGAGTATCTACCTATGCAGTCTTCCATTTTTGAGTTCTATCATGGCTGGTCCCCCAACTCCTGTGTCCGCATGCCCACTCGTTTACTTGGAGATCCGCGATGGAGCGAATGCCAAAGCCTACAACTCTTCTCGCCCATACAGTGCCTTTACTCTGACGATCGAGGGTGAAAGGCCCATCGGATCAGAAATGGGAATTTTGGTTCTTTTGATACATAAAGGGAAACAACAAGTGGTATGGACTGGTGGTATTGGGCTAGAGTAGGAGGCTAATGGGCCAGGTTTCCCTTCGACTCAGTGAAATAAAAGGAGGATCATCGTCCTCTGCAGAGATCATCAGCATCGATAATCAAACGAATCGAATCTGTGTATCTGTACCTAAGAAGCCACAAGCGCTCCTCGTGCAGTTTGAGGAAAAGAGAGATTTCAGTATAACTGTATGCTTGCTGCAGAAGGCTGGGTTCTTCGCTAGCGAGGCAATACCAGCATCTCTTGTAACAGTTCCTCCTCAGCCTGTATCGCAAACACACGATGCCATGTTTGACACAAGGCCGCGACTCTCATCAATCACTCCGCCGACTCTATTGCCTCCGAATCATTTCCAAGGAACTGGTGCTCCACCTGACTTCTCGTTCACCACCATGTTGAACGCTCCTTTACAGCCTTCGCCATTTTCGACTGTCCCGCCCTCTTACATGGAACAGACACAAAGAGCGCAGTCAATACAAATGCAAAACTATCTTCCAGGGACTCAAATGCGGCATACTAGTCCAGTGACGGCACAACTCAACCCATACCACATGTTCCTTGAAAGAGACGGCACACACTCACACATACCTCGCGTTGGGTCGCCTCTGAGGTACTCCTTTAACTCGCCACCGCCTCCGACACAGTCGCCCATCGGCAGGGCCGACATGGTGATGCCTCTGAATATGTCCACCACAGGCTCCCATGCGCGGAGTCTCCCAGTTCGTGAAAGTCCTGAAGTCGGCTCTTTTGAAAGTCGCTCGGATGTGGATACCAAGAGCTGTGATACGCGCGCAGACTTGATAAAAGACCTTTCGCTAGAACCGTTCCGTCAACAGCCATTGCACGACCAGGACTTTCGCAAACAGATGCCTCGACCCAGACAGTTGCCGTTTGATTCACGCGCAAAGACCGCCGCACCATATAAGAAGCCTGAGGTGTTTGCAGGTATACGATCGAGGCTTGAGAAATCATCCGACCCTAGAAAACCCAGGAGACCCCAAAGCCGATCTTTAAGGAGAGATCCAACCAATTCAGGGAAAAGTCAAAGCACCGAGACCACGTACAACACCACAAATGAGAGGTTAAACCAGAATAGTGGCAGAGTTCTTGCGTCAGAAAACACTGAAGATTATTCTAATGCAACTAACAGTTTTGAAGACCACCCTCTCAGCTCTAAATCGGCGAGTGCATTTGCGAGTGTGAAAGCCAAAGATGGTATGTACAAGGACGCCGAATGTCAGACAACCCTCCCAAAAGGCCCAAAAGTTTCAACTAGCTCCCATAAGTCCTCAGAATCAAGGCAAGGAAGCTCGGGCGTGGAGCTCCTACCATGGGTTATACTCAGTGACTACAACACGTTGAAGGATTTGAATCAAGCAACAACCCCGTTGGTTGAACAGTTCGGACAGGATGTTGCCAGGGGCGGTGATGCAGCTTTGCTTGCACAGTTCTATTCAAAGCAACTATGGGCAAGACGTAGAGACTTCTGGTATGAAAAGTTGCAAGTCATGGCCGGTGGGGAGTGACGACTGATTGGCGAGTTACCTGCCATATGAACGGATAGTTGGAGGTTAAAGGAAGGAAACTCGGACATTTGACTTTATTATGGGAGTTTAAGTGCTTGCAAATAGTTACCTTAGGTAGGCATCTGATTTGTTGCTGAGACTGACTCACCGTTCCTAATAATGAACTGTACCGACCACACCTACCTCGGACTCTCTCGCCTCCCCCATTCAACAACCAACCGAACCCCTTTACGTCCTCGGTCCATCCAACTTATCACGGCATCAAGGCGCCCATTAATACGAAGTTTATTCACAGGGCTCATTGTTCTTGCGAAGACTCCGCGCATCCCCATTGGTTAGAGTTGAGCTGCATTTCTTTCTGTATTGCATTCATCCTAGCTGTCACGATGTCGATATCAGAGACAGTCCTACCAAGCATTGAGGACCCAAATATCCTTACAACCTTTCCGAGCCCTGGCCCCAGTTCCAGTGACCGAGAGATAATCCAGAGTCCCGAGATGCAACGGGTGTTGGACAAGTTCCCCAGCATTGATATCGAGAAAGCTCTTGACATCCGGGCAAAACGGACACGCGAGTCCACCCAACGTAAGTTGTGACTTTGCATGTGCTAGCATAGTACGCACATGTGTTCTAATTATACAATGAAAGGCATTAGCAAGCGGCCTACTAGTCTTTCTGGCTGGTTCTGTCGAAAGCGAGGCCTGAGGAATCTCTTCAAAGATATTCCTCTCAACAATACCCAGGAGACGACCAACAAAGATTTCCGTCTCTGTCGAAACACCAGCCAGCGTCACGGTGATCAACACACGCTGGAATGGTTCGAGAAGAGGGGTAGCCATATTATGATTGTCAGTCGTTTTTCTCGCAATATGGGCAAGCACCGAGGTCAAACCAGACTCAAGCTCTGGACCAGGTTTCACAAAAACATACGAGATGTTATCAACCAACGAATTCAAGAGATCGAGAACGGTGATGGGGAACTTGCGAGAGCTTTCTACATCATCCAGGTCATAAATACACCCCAAGAGTTAGCCTGGCACCTCATTCGCAAGCATCCCTGGTCAAGCACCTAGTTCAGAATCATGGTCGTCCTGGCACAGTTGGTGCATTTCAAGGCTGTATTTTCTTTAACACCCTTGAGTGCTTTAAAATTAAGTTTTTCATCAAAGTTTTTATTAATACACTCTCAAGTTCAAATGCAATGATAGTTCACAAATGACAGATCTGAGGATCTACCTGTTCTTGGTACTACGACTGATCACAAAGTTAGCCTCTTTCCCCATTTACAGAAAGACTGATTAATACATGGCGTTTGATAAATTCAAAATATCTCTTTCTGAGTTCTTGTGTGAACTCTATTGCAAATGCCCGGCGAAGACTTAGGGTTTGATACCCTCGGCGACCGACTCATTGCTTGGACATAATAAGGACTAGAAATCTGCCTCAGGTGAGAAAGCCACCAGTCAAGAGAGCGTATTCATTGTGATCCCAGACTCTGGGTGCCGTTTGTCATTGATATAGAGCCTGGCATGTACAAACTTCTCAAGTGTATTTTAAGGGGTACGCTCATCCCCAACTGGCCATGATAGCGTTAACTAGATTGCGTGTGAACGGTTAGCCATGACGTACAGAATTTCGCTATCTCTACATCTATGTGGCAGACAGTCTTCATACAGTTTCTGTTGTGGTGCCTAGCCGTTATGGGCGCCTACTGAGTCTTATTGCGGTTCAACTATGGCAACAGCTATTTTAAAGTCGTAACCATGTTACCTTCCTAAAGCTCAAGTTAGGAATGTTCGATGTGTTAGTTTGATAGAGCTTAGATACCTACTAACTAACACATCTGCCATGCATTGGCTGGGGTCCATGAGCCAATGCACCGTTTACTAAACGCTCAGAGGTGACAAAACATCCATCTGCTACAAATGTGTAGGTTTTTTATAATCCAAAGCTTGTGGAGGACATGTGAGGTGTAAAACTGTTTAGTCTTTGCAACCGCCATTTTTCAAAATAGACATAAGACAAAAAAGCCGTCGTATTCATAAGGTATCCATCCGAAACGTGCCTCAAGGGTATTTAAATCGATACAAAGATAACAACCATTACTCCTTCATCTTGACATAGTTGCTGGGGAAAATGCCCGTTCTTGTGCCAATTTGTCCGGTCCTAGAGGCTGTTAGTTATTGCGACGGTATTTAAGCAGTTGGCGTTGGATACATACCACCAGTCGTTATCACTCTCGGTTCGCTTTAAAACAGTGATGACATCGCCCTTCTTGAAACCCAGATCACCTGGTTGATCCGCGTCAAAGTTGTACACAGCAACTGCCTCGTTCTTCTTAAGCATTGCTTGCTTGGCACCAAAGTTGGGCTTGGGAGCCGCTGGCCGTCCAGGGCCAGCCTTCTTCTCAGCGCCAAACCCTCCCGAACCTCCTGTGGGATTGTCATGATAAACGTAGTCGTTGTTCGCGCCGCCGCCAGAAGCAAATGTGCTGGAACGCGTGGGTCCGCCAAAGCCGCCTGGTCTGTCGTATACATCGTCCTGCCATGTATTCGATCGGCTGGGTCGTCCGAAGCTATCGTCATATGAGCCTGAGCCGGTACGATCGCGCTGGACGCCCTCGCCCATCGCGGATCCTCGGCGACCGTTCCAAACAACGTCGTCGTGCTGATCGTCGTATACAGGAATGTCGTTGTACATGGCGTCATCACCACCGCCTCTCATGCCATTGAAAACGCGCGAGTTAAGGATATTCATGAGAGGGGCAGCTTGAGGAGGTGGCCTCACAGAACCGGTGAGGAGCTGCTGCGCTGTAAAGCGTTGGCCGTACATCTTCTCGTTGGCATCACGGCGCTCAATAATCGCAGATCCCTCAAGGGAAACACCAGCAAAGAGGCCCTTGGTCTTGGAGTAACTGAAAATACCAGCGACACCTTTCAGCGAAGCAGCGCCGGCTGCTTCGGCGTTGCGACCAACGGGACCAGCTGCCAAGGAGACATTGCCACCTAGTGTCAAAGACCCAGCTTGGGCAAAGGATCGGACGGCGCTCGAATCGTTCAGAATAAAGACAAAATCGGTCAATTCGAAACCAATTTGACCACCGAAGCCGGCTCCGGCGGTTGCAATAGCGCTCGGGGCGCTCCAACCACCCTCGGGAAGTCGGGCGACGACAAGACCGCTGCCAAAACGTCCTGAGCCGAGGAACCCGGCCTTGAGAACGGTGATGATAGCAAGACCCTTAGCATTGGCGAGGATGGATGGAGGAATGACCTTGTCGGGACCGAAAGACTGGCGGGGGTTGATGAAAGAAGTCAGGATCTTGCCGCACTTCTTACATTCCGCTATTGGGGATTGTGTTAGCCATGTCTCGCACTTGAGCTGATCGCTTCATTGAGGAGTGGAGTAGCTCATGATGTGCGATCATGAGTGCAGAATTTGGTGGCTCGACTTACACGCCATAGACGACGGGAGGGGATTGTTGATGCCCATATTGATACACTAAACCAAAGCTCAAGAGATACAATACACAAACAGGGACGGGGATCGAAAGTTGTCTTCGCGCAAGTCGAAAACTGTTGTTGGAGGAGCCAAGAAGCTCTCAGTACAAGGGCGATGGGTGGGGTTGATACGATAGGTATAGTAGCCCAGCTTGTCCGGGTTGCGTCGTCACCAGACGAGTTACTGCTGCGCCTCGATGGTATATGCCAAGGAGTGGACGTAAGCAAACGAGTGTAGAATATTCTGCGGCGATATTATACAAGGACTTGTAGGATCGACAAAGCTACAAAGGAGGAAAAGTAGAGGTCTCAAGTCTGCACTATTAGGTGCAGACGTTGGGCATGCGGATTCACGGCACCTCGTAATGGGGAGCTTCCATGTTCTGTGGCGCAGTAATTCAAGTCGTGACAGCGTGAATACCTACCTACCTAAGTACATAACAATGAATCCACTGAACTTAGAGCCTTTTACAACTACCCAACCATTTTCTTTCATCAGGCCTTGTCTGTATGTAACATGTTGCCCCGCCTTAGGCGCCAGGGTACAGTACAGTTACATACAGCTTTCCTTTGGTGCATGGAGAAATCTCCAGTTTCTGGGCGGATGGAGGTGTGGCTGTTAGTTGAAGTGTGGCGGTGTCAGCAACAGAGTACGTACCAGTAAATGCCCAGCGCGCCCGCGTGAGGTGGCCGTGGCGGACTTTGGGGCCGACGGAGGAGGAGGTCGTCATGGCTATCGGTTTTGTGTTAGAACTCGAACCCCTTTCACAACTTGGCACTTGACATTTCGAGGGTACATTTCACGACGACGAAGCTATCTTGTCTTCTGCAAAGCGGCGACAAACAACACACACCAATCATTCTGTTCCCATAGAAAGCCAGACCGTACCGATAACCCCTGTTTCGCCATCCCTAACTTCCAGCAATCTTCACCATGTCCGAAGCCTACGAACGAGAGCGCCAGAACAATGCACGCCTGGATGAGCTCTCTGCAAAGGTCTCCGCCCTTCGGGGTGTGACAGTCGACATTTACGATAATGCCCGAGCTCAGGATGTCATCGACAACACCGTCCGTCTACCTCCTTCGGAAGCGACAACTTACAGTTTACTAACGTCCAACAGTCCGATACTTTCTCCTCCATGACCACACAGATGAAGGGTTCTGCTGGCCGCTTAACTCGCATGGCTGCATCAGGCAACCGTGTCGCTATTCTGAAGCTTTCGGGAATCGTTATTGGCGTGTTCTTGGTGTTATTCTACGGGGCTAAACTGTTGTTCTAAGAGCCTTGACACAGATGAAGTTGGACAAGGAACGATCCTAATACAGGGCATCAGTTGTGAAGGAAAGTCGGGTGTTTACCAGGTGGCATACACAGATGGTCGAGGGCATCCAAGTGTCCACAGCTAAAAGGCTAAGGAGTTGTGTCTCAGGATTTTTACTGTTTTCGCAGCGTTGGGCCGGCGTTATTTGAATACATTCACATTGCTTCTCACCCGAGCCAATGTCATAATGGTCGTACAATTTAAGCCATCCTGTTTCGCATCTACTTGACTCCTAACATGCAAACGCCAATCATGCCTGCAATTGTTTTATAGAAACCTCCGCCCCAAAAGCCATCTAGATGTTTCCAAAACCCACTACCTACTGCCACACGTTGGAGAACAAGTCTTCATCTCCGCCAAAGCCACCGCTAGGCTTGGCTTGACCACTACTGCCACTAGCAGCAGGTCCACTGCTTGTCCATCCTCCGAACTCCTCATCAGCCGATACCTTGGGCGATGCAATAGGATTGAAGCCTCCTGATGCCCCCGGGACGATGGGTGTATTGGCAAAGGCTCCTCCCGCATTACCCCAACCAAAATCACTCGCCGCGGGCTTTGGTGGTTCAGGGGCTTTCTGGACTGGAGCTGGGGCTGGGGCTGCAGGGGCTCCCCAATCACTTCCACCCCAAACATCAGCACCAGAGAAACCACCCATAGAACCGGCTGCGTTAGTAGTTGTCGTCGTACTGGCTGGCGCGGCAGCAGGTGGGCTTTGGGGAGAAGAGAGCTTAAAGACGGAGTTGGTAGAAGCAGCTGCGGGCTGTGGTGGAGGGGGCGATGTGGTCACAGGTGCAGAAAGATCGAAAAGGTCACCCATAGCGGAGGATTGAGCGGGCTTGGGCGCGGCAGGAGCAGCAGAAGCAGCCGGCGGCGGAGAGGAAAAGCCACCGAAGTTCGAGAAGTTGGAAGATTGCTGCTGGTGGGTAGGGGCAGCGGGTTGGGAGGGTTTGCTGTTGAAGAAACTACCTCCTCCTAGGCCACCGAAGGCATTGCTGCTTGATGTGGTACGACTGGCGGAGCTGAGGCTAGCAAAGGGGTCGGGAGCGGCGGGCTTGGGGGGATTCGAGATGCTGAGACCACCAAAGGCGTCGTTGAAGCCACCAACAGAGCCTTGAGACTGGTGGCTGAAAGTGGGAGAGGCAAGGCCACCAAAGCCTCCCGCAGATGACTGTTGCTGAGGTTGAGCAGGAGGTTGAGGTTTAGGTGCAGTAGCATATAAGGATAGGATAGATTGTTTCAAATCAGGACGAGACTGGCCGCTCGGAGCGGTACCAGTTGTGCTGGCCGGTCGAGGAGGAGCCGCGGGCTCGCCAAAGAAGTCGAGTCCGAGTAGAGAGTCCTTTGTGCTCGTTGCCCTCGGGGGAGCAGGCTCTGCCTTAGGAGCAACCTTCGCCGCGTGAGGAGCAGCGCTGCTTGACCGCACAGGGACAGGGTCTCCGCCGATAAGATCGCCCTGAGGTGCAGGGATAGATTTCGGTGCTTGTGAGTTGCCTAGGGATGCCTTTCTGATGGACTCCTTGCGCTCTATGACTTGCTTCTCCTTCACAATGCTAAGGGGTACATCGTCGTCGCCATCAGCATCTAGAGTAGCGGGATCGGGCATGGGGCCGTCCATAACCCATCGCTTGAGTTCGTACTTCGTTCGGATAAAGTTCTCGATCTTGGCTTCAGAGGGAGCATGGCCTGGCGCAAGCTTGGCCTCCCAGTATTTATTGGCGCGAGCGTTTCCCCAGCTCAGAACGCTTTGGAGTTGTTCATCGGTCCAAGAATCGAGGTCGACAGACTTGACTCGGCTGATGTGAGTGCCCATGCCACGATGGATGCCCGAACATCGGATACAGATGAAGACACCTAGGTTCCAGCTGGCCCATCGAGGATCTGAAATGGTTAGAGGGAATTTGCTAGCAAGCTCGTAGTCTAATACATACGCTTGTTCCGTTTACAATCAGAGCAGACCTTATTGGCCTCCAACTTGAGGAGACTCTTGATGGTAGCTTGGTTTTGCGCCGCCCGCTCAGCAGCGGGGTTCGGGGCTCTCCTGGACATGGTGATACTGATTGATGATAATACAGAGGGAGTTCGTTACGGGTTGTGGTAGAAGTCGAGGCAAAGGGATTCGAAGCGTCACTCTGAACGAGTGTTGTTGCAAAGTGGCAACCTGTTCGAAAAGGGTGTGCCTAGAATTGGATGAATGTTGATAGGGAGGTGCCAAGGTGGTCGGTGATGTTCCCTTTAGCTGCCCAGCGGAATATATGCAATGGATGGGCGGGGCGTGTAGGTACCTGACCCCTGGATTTGGCGGGGGGTTACAAGACTGCACCAGCCACTGGATGATCCCAGCTTTCCTTTCACCTTGTATCAATGATTAATTACTCCTTTTGTGAATAGAGTCGGGTCGAAGAAATTTACATTTTAAACATCTTGGCCTGCAATTGTCTCAAGGATACTCAGACTCATGGCTCACTCTTCGCGGGTAAAGTATCTGTCTCACATTTGAAATGAAGTTATCTTTCGGACTTCGATCATTTGGGTGAGATACGAAATATGGGGGCTGAAACCAAAGTCTTATCCTACCCGAAGAAAATAAGACTTTTTTTTTTGGCTTTCAGAGTAATCAGCTCTTAAAGTTGAATCATCAAATTGCCGGATTTGGAATTGTTCCAGCGTATTCGAGCGCAATACTCGAGCCGTTGGGCCACAAAGAGCGTAAAGCGGGATAATCAAAAGGTGGCTGTGGTAGGCTTAGCAGCAATAATTCGATGATGCAGATGATTCCACAGTTCGCAACCCATGATTTGTCAACTGGTTGCCACTAAGACCCGGGACTTATAACGTCTCTCTTGAAGGTCATGAATGATAACTCATCTTCAATCAAATATAAATAACCATATACAACTCCTTTCTCAATGCGCTTCTCTCCATTACTATCAACACTTTTCTACACTTTCTCAAATATCACCCGCGTAAGACCCCCTCTGCCTTCACACCTGGCCTTTCGACCTATTCCCCTTCGATCTATGTCTGGTATTCCTCTGCTGGGCGCTTTGTTTGGCACTTCATCCAAGAACTCTTCCAATATGTCTTACCCTGATCAACGTTCAAACGACGAGTGGCGAGCTGTCCTCAACAAGGGTATGTTCTTACACTGCTAGCATCTCTTCTGCAGAGCAACTAACGTTCGCAGAGCAATTCCGTATCCTGCGTGAGAAGGGTACCGAGCCTCCTGGTTCTGGAACGTTTGACAAGCACTATCCTGAGCAGGGTGTTTATACCTGCGCTGGTTGTGATGCACCACTTTATAAGGCGAGCCACAAGTTCAGCTCTGGCTGCGGCTGGCCAGCCTACTTTGACAGTATCCCTGGCGCCGTTGTCCGTCACGAGGATCGTGCTTTCGGTATGGCACGAACAGAGATTGTATGTGCCAACTGCGGCGGTCACCTGGGACATGTGTTCAAGGGCGAGGGCTTTGACACGCCAACTGATGAGCGTCACTGTGTGAACAGCGTCAGTCTGAGCTTTTCACCTGATGATAAGACTGTCAAGGATAGGCCTGAAAGCAAGGCTTGATTTGAAGTATCCGGTATCGGGAAAGACGAATGATGAGACGATGAGATGACGAGCGGCATTGGTACGAATGAGGAGTATATGGCGCAGGGTCCGAAGTGAGGTGGTACTTAGCTGAAATTGAAACATGAAAATATTGAACAGCGAACGGATTCTACAGTGACTGGTCTTAGAGCTCTCCTTCATCTGACTACACCGAGTTGGCCGTTGCACATCCCAACCCGCCTATGATTTATCAAATCATTTCAATCAAATCTCTCAGGGAAGTATAACCATTCTCCACGTTCTGCATCCCAATGTCGGAATCTTTGAGAGCACTGGTCCCAAGTCCAGTAGTCATCATCCATATCACCTTCCTCAGAGAACTTGATTTCGGGTGGTGTCAAGGCTTCTCCCTGTATATATGCTTCTTCGATGTCGGCTCCCACGGGTTGGTCCTCAAAGCTAATATCCAGACAACGTGTTCTTTCCTCCAAGCCATCGACTAGGAAAGTTTCAGACTTTCCACCAAGTCTTCCTTGAACATATGTATTGCTTTCTGTGTAAGTGTCGATCATCTCATCCTTGACTAAAGGTCCTTTTTCTCCGGTTCCGTTGTGTCCTGGAGATATATATGTCGAATTGTCTAGCCCTTTTTCAGAACAGGATATAGTAAATAATGCCGTGGAGACTCGAGGCACTTGACCTCCATAGACGGACTTCCGCTGAGGATCCTTAAGCTGTCTCTCACAAGGTTTCACTCTCTTGGATGCTTCCGCAGAACGGGCTGTACTACAATTATTTCCTTTTCCAGCATAAATATGGCTGGGCATGAGCTAAAAGGCATTAGTTCAAAGTCGTGTAACAGGTATTTGAAGAAGCATTCATACCTTGGCCAATGCATTGTAACAGATTTGTCCATTGTTTTCTTGGACATTCGTCCTATCTGTTGGACAGCGCATGAACAAGGCTTTGATAGTAATATTGGGGGCCATCAAATCAACCAATCTAATTGTTTCCCTGGCTTGATTCAAGTTTATACCTAGAAGATTTGTAATGGATTAATAGTAATTCTGTGAAAACAGCTTTCAGGAGGCCTATGGTGCAAGTTAGAAATAACGGGTATACTGAAGGCGACAATATACTGACTGTAGTAACTTCTAGTAACTATTGAACTTGAGTCTTCATTGATACCTGTCGAGTGCATAGTTATATGGACATTTTTATGTCCCAGGCTTCATTGAGGTGACTCGGAAGTGGGCGGCATTCAGCTTTGGGAGTCGTAATACATTACGATGACGAGGCGAATGTGTCATTCCATAAGGCACGCTACTTCGTAGTGGTTTACTGTGAACCTAGTCCTTCTGCATCTTGTTTCTGTCAGAGCCTGACGCCCGGTGACTTATGCTCCTTTGAGGCGCAGCACTGACAACACCATATACGGTTGCCTTTCAGATTGAGGTTGAAAAAGGCCCACGATTGTGACAAGGCGATGACAGTTACAGAAGTGGAATGTAACTGTGATTTAAACCCGCATCCGCGCCTCGTCAGAAGTGATAAGATGCAGTTCCTCGCTTTCAACCATGCGTGGCCAGTCTCTGTCGCACAACGCACAGAGGCGGCTCTTTATTTCACCGTTAGCAGCACAGCCCGCCTTCGATATGTCGGTAAAGCGAGGCTGTGCACGGCGACAAGCACCAGAGGCCACTCAAAACGCCTATTCTTTGGGTGTTTGATGGAAAAGAGGATCGAGGCAGACAATTGGACCTGTATGCCTCGGAATTAAAGAAGCGTGTTGTTACAGGGCCTAATCCAATGGCTGGCCACAGATATCTGTACTTTTGCTGCGCTGCCTGTCCACGATGTCGAGGAAAACCTAGCAGAGGTGATTTTACTCGGAACAAGCCTCATATACCTGTTACATATATTAGGTTGAATTTCATACCCCCGCTGCTACATTCTTCATTGTGTCTAGTTCCTGTTTAAGAACCGAATTCCCTGTTTTTCTTTTACAACATTTACTCTTTTTCCAGGCACTATTCTCTGCCTTATATCCATTTCTCCTACACTCTAACATTTACCAATGACTCCGCCGAGCAGACAAAGAAACCCAGCTCTAGCTGGTAGGCCTGGTCGCTTGAAACTCAGTGTGGAGGAAGCCATCAGACAAGCTTCCCCTCGCTCACGGTCGCCCTCTACACTCAGTCCTATCTCCAAGGATCGATCGAGGCGTCGAAGTAGTTCGTCTACTACTTCTCACACTGTTGAGTCATTCCGACGACGGGCCAAAAGTGACAGGTACTTTGATCCTCTGGGCTTTCAAACCCAGACGAATCAACCCGAAACTTGCATTACATTTCCACCTCTCGGCTCCCAGGACTCTTCGCCATTCCCTCGATTATCCGTGGATGAGTCCGCCGTTTTCACGGACGAGGAGCCTCCAAGCCAAGGCCAGTCTCCTATTTCTCCGCTATCAGGGCCCAACTGGCAGGCGCCAGCACAGCCTCTAAGAACTCAGTCAGCACGAGTCAAACATGAACAGATGATCCGAGTTACTCTCAAAACCCAGACCACTGAAGTACCATGTATTGCCAAGTGCTATCTCACTCGGGATTCGAGTGTCGTCGATAATGACTTTGCTCGAAACTGGGGCGCCAAGATACATCCAGTGCCCAAGCCTCGCTGGAAAGACGCCCGACACTGGTGCGAATTGGATGTAATCGATGTGGAAACAATTGGTAGTGTTCAAAAGCAACTGTCAATTCGGCTTGGCAAGCTTCCAGACCAACGGGTCAGTGTTGAGCTCGGCATTGATGCACTCAAGGCTCTACATCTAGTTGATGAGACTGGTAGGTAGAATGTCGTGCTGATTAGCTCATGTCAGAATGTAGCTAACCAAAAGATAGTACAGTTGTCTCGATCTGCACCTCCTAGCCAATATCTACCATGGACTGGCATCAGCCCTCCTTATATGCAACAGCCACAAGATATCCTCGGACAGTATGTGCTTACACCACCTGCGCCACAACAATATACCACTGGCCGTAATCGGGCCCTGACGGTACCGTCGATACCTTCTATCAGGATAGATACATCATTCGACACTTCACTTTCGGTACCAAAATCCGTGGGCGACTCAGGTTCTGGCGAAGACTCAAGTTCACCTTGGGATTGGGACGCTCTGTCGATAGCATCTCAATCATATCAAGAAGAGGACCCATGCGCGGCCTGGAGTCCGGCTGTTTCGGACTGCGGTGGCCTTTCCTCTTCTTTTGATACTTGTATGAAATAACAATACCCGACTGGGGGATTTCTGCTTGATCATCTTTGTTTGTTTGTTTGTTTCCTTTTCTTGGTGTAGAATGGCGTTGGTCTTGCTTGTATTAAAACTCTTATTATGTTTTCTAATATTGATACCCAGTTCGGGAACGGCGGTGTCACGATATCAGTTTCGCCAATCTTCAACGAGTCGGTTATTTCCTTGTGATAATTGGGGGACCACGTGCTTATAAGACTCAGATCAAATCGTCATTTTTTGGAGTATTTCTTACTTTGCTAGCCACCGCGTGACGCAAGAGTGATAGCAGTTGGAGAAGTTCCCCCGCGCTGAAAGCTGGGGAAATAACATGTGATCGGACACTAAAAAGAGACGCTAGTAACGCCAAGACTGGGGCGGCGAGATGCCTCGGTCGGTCGGTCGCACGGTTTGAAGTCCGTTCTTAGCTGGTCTCCATCTTCGGCCATTCTTTACCATCTTCTCCTGTGACAAAGCTGACCAAGCCCGAGTCTACTTCTACTCCTACACAACATCCGAGGTCTAACGAGATTTCTCTCTGTATAATAATCCTTCCTCCCTTATACTTTTTCTCCGCCTCAATCAACTTCTGTCCTTTGTTTTGCGCATTATACCCCAGTACTACTCATCTCTCTCCCTCAAACACTTATATATCCTTACATCATAGCAAAAATGGGTGGTATGTCTTCTCGTCGCACTACGATCGTCGCAAACTTGAACTAATTATTTTCCTAGTCACCGACAGAATCATCCAGATCGGAGGCCAGATCTCTGGCAACCCGACCGCTGGCGGTCGTGAGAAGATCCTCCAGAAGAACCCTGACGATGTATGTTACCAAGCATTACCGCATACGCTGTTACAGTTTACTGACCATACATAGATCGTTGTCACCGCTGCCTGCCGAAGCGCATTCACCAAGGGAGGCCGCGGCGGTTTCAAGGATACCCCCGCTGCTGATCTTATGGCAGGTGTTCTCAAGGCCATCCTCGACCGCTCAAAGATCAACCCTGCCCTCGTCGAGGACCTATGTGTTGGAACCGTGCTCGCCCCCGGTGGTGGCGCGACCGAGATGCGCGCTGCCAGCTTGGTCGCCGGTTTCCCTGAATCTATCGCCGTTCGAACTCTCAACCGACAGTGCTCTTCTGGTCTCCAGGCTACCGTCGATGTCGCCAACCAGATCAAGACTGGCATGATCGATATTGGTATTGGTGCTGGTGTTGAGAGCATGTCCCTGAACTATGGCCCTGGCGCTGTCTCCGAATTCTCGGAAGCCTTTGAGAACCACCCCGAGGCTGCCAACTGCAAGGTGCCCATGGGTGTCCTCTCTGAGCAGATGGCCAAGGACCTCAACGTCACCCGAGCTGCACAGGACGCCTTTGCTGCCTCATCATACCAGAAGGCTGTCAAGGCCCAAAAAGCGGGACTCTTTGACGAGGAGATTGCTCCTCTCAAGGTCAAGTTCGAGGACAAGGACGGTAACACCAAGGAGATTACCGTCTCCAAGGATGATGGTGTCCGCGATGGTATCACTGCTGAGTCTCTGGGCAAGATCCGTCCTGCTTTTGCTAAGGACGGTTCTATCCATGCTGGTAACGCCAGTCAGATTTCCGACGGTGCCGCCGCTGTCCTTCTCATGAAGCGATCTACTGCCGAGAAGCTTGGACAGAAGATTCTCGGCAAGTACGTGTGCGCCTCGATCGTCGGTGTCAAGCCCCTTCTTATGGGACAGGGCCCCTGGAAGGCTATCCCCAAGGCTCTCGACCTTGCCGGCATCTCCAAGGATGATGTCGATATCTGGGAGATCAACGAGGCTTTTGCCAGCCAGTGCTTGTGGTGTGCCAACGAGCTGGGTATTCCCCAAGAGAAGATCAACCCCAAGGGAGGTGCTATTGCCTTTGGCCATCCCCTAGGCTGCACTGGTGCCCGGCAGGTCTCTACTCTTCTATATGAGTTGAAGCGAACAGGCCAAAAGGTTGGCGCAACATCTATGTGTATAGGAACTGGTATGGGTATGGCCGCTATCTGGGTTGCCGAGTAGAGTTTGTGTACAAATATTTACAGCATGTATTAAGAGCATTTAGTATTTATCTCAATTTACCTTTTCTAGAACCCGTCTATACGAGTTCCTACATTCTTTTCATTTGCAACCTCAATCAGATGTGTTCCCACCACGAGATCCATCAGTCCAAGTCCGACACTCTTGTATACTACAGTGCCGTCCCTCAGCCAACGACAGAGATGGTCCTCTGATTTTCTCTTTTCTTTGTCCAGAGAGGTACTGGAGTTCTTTCTTGAATGGAAAAAGGAGTTGGATCTACGCCCTTCTGAATCTACTGAATCCGTAGGGCTGGTGGGGGGGTCACTGGCATTGCTTCCGCTGCCATAGACCGTGGACATGGAGCTCATCCTACCATGGATATCTAGCTTATCCATGTCAGAAGAGAAAGATGCCTGACTACTGGAGAATCCGTCGGACTCCTCTATAGCTAGACGATGGAGCATCACAAGTTCCCCCAGCCTGTCATTGATGTCAGTGACCGTTGAGAGAAGAGGAGTAAGCACATACTCTACAAGTTGATGGGGCCCAATATTGGCAGCAATAATCTCGCCTGCTTCTTTGAGCACGCCTTTGATGTTATCAACGACAATGACCCCGCCTTCGACTGCATGCTTGTGGAAGTGTCGGTGAGGCTTGTCCTCCCTCTTTACTGCTAGCTGGATAAGGTCATTTGGAAGCTCACGCATTTCTGGTGTATAACTTCCGACAGCAATGATGAGACGTCCTTTCTTGCGGCCCTCGTGAGACGTTAAGATGGATCCATCAAAGAGGTCTTTTTGCGAGGCTGTGCAGCAGTAGATCACATCTGCATCCCTTATCTGATCTTTTATCAGGCGTCGGTACTCGTGGAATGCAGGGATCAGAAGACCGAACTTGGTGTCCGACCAACCTTCTCGTCTCTTGATCTCAGGAGGGATGCTAGCGAATCTCTTCAGGATGCCAGTCGCTTTATCGCTCCACCTATGGTTTATAACATGAACGTGCTTAATAGTACTGCCGCGGATCATCAGGGCAAGCCGGATATGCCAGTAAGCCTGAAGACCGCTGCCAAATACTGTCAAGGTCTTGACATGGTTGCGGCGCTCCAACAGACAGGTAGATGCCAGGGCTGTTCTGAAAGCTGTGAGAGCTGTTGCATTGACGATTCCAAGCGGTGATCCATCTGGCCGGAACAGGTTGAGAACACCAGTAGGACTGATCTGTGTAACACTAGAATCCTGGGATGCTTCCGTACTTGTCAAGGAAATCACTTATTGGTTAGATTAATTCGTCTATACTGTGGGATGAGGTCTCACCTTTGCAGCCCATTCCACACGGAGCACATGAGGGCATATAGAGCGTCCTAGCCATGGTCTCTGGATGTAGTGTTGAAATGCGTTCTGGTTGCTGAAAGGCTTCCTCAAGAGCCGGCACTCCAGTAGAGAACTCGTGTAGGGATGAAGCCAAAACATGGCGAAACTCATCGAGCTCATCAATGGTAAGACCTTCCAAGATCGAGTTGACCTGGTCGTTTGAGAGAACGGTATAAGTCATTTTCCGTGAGCTTTCATTCAAAAATGCGAGATGCTCTAACAACCGAGAGCTTGTAATGAGTCAGTTTGTGCAATTGTTGGTTCACCGGTTATTTGCTCGACTTTCACGGTCAGATCATGGGCTAGAGACCAATGAGTGTTGCTTGATAAGCTAAAAAGACAGAATTGATGCGTGTTAAAGATGATGTAATGGTGTAGAGGGAGCTTATTTATAGGTAACTTTGGCAGGTCCCCGGATCTTCTACGGGAGGAAACACTCCACCTCAACACGTGGTAGGAATAAGGTACGATCGTGCAGGCCATGGAACGTTTAGTTGGGTGTTTGCTGGCAGGGCTGATTTGAGGCTATTCCTGTGAGAAGACCTCGATTTGGGTAGGTCTAGACAAGTCTATAACGGGTTCGCTTATTCGTGTAACATGACTGAAGTTGATCGATTGTCACGCATCCGTAGGTAGCTGGTCTGTGGAACGCTAACTAAGTTGTGAAAGTAAACCAAGGGACAATGTTTGGAAGATGAAACCGGTGTTGTGCTCGTTATAGCATTGCAAACTTGCCAAACTGTAAAGCCCGAAATTATAGCTATTTCTTATAAAATCTAGAGTATTGTCAATTCATGGCTACCTTACGGAGTAATTAGCAAGGGGATGCAATAAAACTTAGGACATCGATCCTAGGTGACAAAAAGTTTTATGTAATCTTAGGGTAAACTTAGGTAAACTTAGTATAATTTAGTAGAGATATAGAGGATCTTAGACTAAATATTTTTGACACCTTATTTAAACGTTACAAGTCTTCTTACACCCGGAGGTCTAGGTCGGTAGGTATGTTAAGGTATGCATAAACATTGAGTGTTGATTCGTGGGCTTAAAATACAGCTTTTAAAGGGTGCCTGAGTCTCAATATGCCCTCACCTTCAAATTGATGCCTTCGAATACGAATCCGTAGAGCTCCAAAGCATCCACTGGCCGGCTGAGCTTTGTCGTTCATAAACTTGGCAATTGTCTCTGTGAAAGACTCCATTCGAGAACCAACTCCGCTTCACTCTGGGCGAGGCTTGGCGATGCCGCGTGGTCAACGTACGTCACTTGACTGTGCAGAGAATAGAGTTGCCTAAACAGAAAGTGAATAACTACCTACATGTTGAGCAAGACAGTACAAAGTAAGAAACGAAACGAAACGAGGACTACAAAAGCCTCTTGGTTGCGTCTCAGCAGACCCAGAGACTCGAAACCAGAACCCTTTGTCTCATGTTCGCCAACTCGACCTCCACTATCCACTATCAATAGCGCACCATCCATCCTCGTTACAAGGACCTGTTCCCCTACAAACACAAAACAACCAATGCCCCGTGGAGCATCCACTCGCTTGCCCTTCCTTTAACTTTGTCCGTCCGTATTGAGACTTGGAGCCAAGCCCTTTGACCCTGCACCAGCCTCAATCAAAATTGGGGACCACCTCAGCAACCATACCATCTACACCTGACGAAGAGGCTACGTTCATCATTTCAAACTTCGCATCCCCGTCGTCACAACAATTCAAACTCTCCACCTCTCGATTCAGTCTCCATCGCCGTCGCAACAATCGACATTTCTCGATCCGCTTTACTGCGATCAATTTACGATCTCGAATTGGTCTCTTAGAAAACATCAGTCACTTTCTCCCTCGGCTGCTCCAAGCCCGAATACGAAAGCTCGACGTAAGCTGGCAAGATGACCCTCAAGGAGGAGTTCCAAACGCGAAACTTCAGTATGTCACTCTCGATCAACTGCGCTTTGTGGAAGATACTAACATTCGTGTAGGTATCTACGGACAATGGTAAGCTAACGATCCTCCGCTGTGTATACAGCTTCAATCATAGCTATTGAGCTGTTAAGCCACTTTGCGACATGACCCATACCTAATCGACTACGATGCAACAACCGACTAACACTACCTGTGCATAGGCTTGGAATTCTTTCCATGATCATCTGTCTAGCTGTTGGAATCGCCAACATCTTTTCCTTTAATGTAGTTCGCATTATCTTCTGCGCCTTTGCTATGTAAGAATCGCCCATGTCATGATGAAGCATCGATTTTAACCATCCACAGAGCATCGGCCTTTGTCATCCTTTTCATCGAGGTCCCTCTTCTTCTCCGAATCTGCCCAACCTCCGGCAAGTTCGATGAGACGATTCGCAAGATCTCGACCAACTATATGCGCGCGGCCGCCTACGGCGTCATGTCTGCTCTGCAGTTCATAAGCAATGTCAGCGGTGCGAGCAGCTTGATTGCCGCTGCTGTATTCCTGCTACTGACTGCTCTTTGCTACCTGCTTGCTGGTATCAAGGGTCAGGCGTTTGTCGGCAGCAAGACCCTTGGTGGCCAGGGCGTCGCGCAGATGATTGTGTAGACTCGCCAGCTGCCGGGCCGACCAATTTTGTGGCTCTACCACGAAGCGGACGAACCACTATTCAAGTTGACAACTTGCACCGTGACGTTCGCTAAGTACAGGAGGCACCCTAAGGCTTTCCACAGCTCGCAGGTGCAGGAGGACGGGGATGACGTTGGAAAATCTGCTTATCTCGACGATTTAGGTTCCTGCCAAGAGCAGAGGCCTGTATACCCAGCTGGATTTGGCGTCTGGGATGAGGAACGGCTCATGTTTTGACTGAAGTTGATGCCCTTTCGTGCACGAGTTTCAACGACTGCGTTATTTTGAGTTATTAGCTAAAATTTGAATTCGTTTATTGTATTGCTGCCCATAAGATCGTGCGTGACGATGTCGATGTTGTTTCAGTACATTTACCCACTGCCGGATAGAATAGCTTTTCTGGAAAGCTATTGATAGCTCTATGGATCGCCGCCATATCAATGTGGCTATTCACCCATGGCCATCATGTGATAAGAACTGCAATGTGCTCAAATTAGCTGCATATCAAAGACTGCAACCCACTGTTCATAATTCTAGACGAGGAGCACATTATAGAATGAATGTAGTGTTTAAAGCTCTGATTCCCTCGTGATATGATACCCAGGTCTTTCTTCTGGGCGCTAGTTTGAATTCGGTTGATCGCTGAACGGACTCAACATTCGCTAAATTCGAGACCTCTTTGAGGTCCATACGCATATCGCGAGGAATTTAGCTTGCTTTCACGCCAACGAGCTTGGTGCCATGGCGTTCAACCAAACCAGCGCTCATCTGCAATACATTTGAAAACAACCCATTACGATTATAGAATGAATCATGGACAATACACGGTCATGGACTATACTCATCACGATACAAGAGTTGGCAATGTCTAGGGTAACCGGACCGGTTTACTGGAGCTTTGGTTACGGAAATGGCGTCAGAACGGACCTTTTGGGACAACTGCGGAAAACTTCTCGGTCTGATGGCATCATGTACAGGGTGGAGGGGTCAAACGGGCTGTGATTCGACTGGAGGATCACGATACTGTAAGATGCCCAGGGGAAACAAAGTTTTTCTCACCACAGGTGGGCGATGATTGACACGAGCCTTTGCTTCTGCTTCTGCTTCTGCTCCTTTACAACGACATGGAAGCTGAAAGAAGTACAGAATCTCGAGATCGTCGTTGGCCTTTGTTAACTGATCCAAGTTGTGACTCCAATTTCCCCGGGGACCACGATAGTCTTGTCTCTAATAAACAGTACTTACTTTGTAGCAACAAAGGGGCTCGTGGTCTCTTACCAACAACGTTTTCACTTGCAATGCATGGTTTGATAGCTCCGTTCCAGCTGGTCAGGCGACCGTCAGGTTTGTTCACCGTACCGTCCAGTAGCACGCCGTCGAGTAAGCGTCATTCTTCTGACCTCTTATGGACAGGAACGTCAACAGGAAGAAAATAGCCGGCTGTAGCATCGATCGGTTGGTGGGGAATAGGCTGCAGGAGATCCCCGCCATGATGAACTATGGCGGGTCGGCGGGAGCGAGCTGTTGAGAGAGACTCCCGTCTGAGTGAGTAAGGTACCTACCTACCTACATTGCTTAGGTATGATTAAGGTATTTCTTGTGATGATATCTTGACTACCTTACCTGAAGACAATGCTATGCACGCATAATTTCAAGACAGAAACGAGCACCTGCATTGATTTGGTGTCGCACCGCGCGTCTCAAGTTTCATCAATGGGATTGGACAGAAGGACAATCGTAGACTCATGGAACCGTACACAGACAGACAGATTCAGGGGACTTCCATGGGACTGGACTGTGGTATCATGGTTATGCGGGGGGCACTGTATCCAGGGCCATGCAAGTGACGAAAATGCTTTATTTGGAAAGCTCTGAGGTAAGCTTCAGAACAGAGGTCAACAATGGGATGAGATTATAACATGTGCTCAATTCGTGCTCTAAGATGAGTAGAATAAACGGATTGCAGCTGAAAACTGAATCAAAACTCCCACTCAAAGATCGTCGAGAATAGAGCGGCTTCTTTGCATTCTCCATCTTTTCAACTCTTCAAAACAATACACGATCTAGCTACAGTGTTGATCAGAAACGCCTCGCACCGTCCGACTTGGCGCCATCGCCATCCCTGTTTTCACAACCAGTGACGACGAACAAAAGTCACCAGCTCCGGTGGCATTTCCTGTCACCTGGACGTTCCATTTTGTATTGTATTGAGGCCAGATTCTGGCATATAAATACACTGATTCAGTCGGGCCCGCTGCCAGCTTGAAAACCCGCACATAATAGCTTTTGTACATCTTGTCTCGTCTTATCTGACACCTCAAATCCCCAACCAGAGCCGGTTGTTAGTTAGTATTGAACTATACTGCATATATATCTGCACTGCTTGTGCCTGGGCCAATCAATACCAATCACGGCAACCCCATTGGTAAGTTTCTTCGTCCCTGAGCAAAAGATCAATCAATCGGTGTGCGACGGGCGCAACACTTGGTGGGCGCAGCAGGGTGTGCCCGTATGTGGCATTGGATTTCTATCGCTTTCTGATAGCAATGGATCCATTCACAGGCGGCGCCTCTAACTCGTGAACCGTGGATCCGATAAGCCCAGGGGCTGGTCCAGCACTGTACATACATACAGTACTATACCTGCAGCTGGAACCGGCAACAGGTACAACCTACAGGCACGGCACGGGCACATGGATGGACGGAATCTTGTTGATGGGACTTTAGACTGGGATCGAGGCCAACAAATGTCTTTAAATACCAGTCTATGCCCCTGTCACGGATAAGTTCCAATTCGTCCTATAGCTTCCAATTGCCTTGGTTCTTCACACTTGTTATTCGAACCTATACTAATTGTTTTAGTATTGACCATCGTTGGTCGCCCCAGACTATCATCACACAGCCCGTCTTACATGAAACTGCACTTACCTCTCTTATTTTGTTTCGCCAACTTTCTATAATCGCTCCTCTGAGCATCTAAATATCAACAATGACCGCTGCCGCCATGCAACAACCTCCCGTTATTCCTCCCCGTCCGGCTAAGGGCCAGGACAAGAACGATTCTCCGGGCAATGTTCCCAAGATTCCACCTCGTCCTTCATCAAAACGATTTGACCGCTCGATATCTCCCAATCCCGATCGATTCGCTCCCTCACCTTTCAACGAGGGCATTCCTCACAAGAGTCCCATTTCTGCCCGATTTAACCCCAACGATGCTCACCAGGACCCAATCAACCGCCCAACCAGCGTTTCGATGCCTTCGATTGGCCAGGAGGGTGCTGAGTACAGTGCCGTGACCCACGAAGTCAAGCCTGAAGAGATCCAGGCCGACGAGGACAACAGAGCTGCGTCACCCGAACAAACACGTACCATTGCAGAAGACCTTAAGCTTCATGCGCCCAAACCTTCCCTGCCAGCGCAAAGCGCCAAGCAGCGTGTCCAAGCCGTGACCCGCACCGACTCCGATAAGGCAGCACAATTCGGCATTGGCCGCCCTGGATCTACACAGGGCAACAAGAAGCAGTCTAGTACCAATGTGTCGGTCAGTGATGGTCGTCCTGAGGTGGAGGATGAGCATGGCATTCCCGAAATCGGCCAGCGCGTGCCCATGAACCCTCATCTTGGTGACGTTCAGGCCCCTTCGCCTGGCCCTGGGTCTGAGGAATTCAAGAAGCACCACCATCGCAAGCACAGCTCTCGTGGTGGACCGCCGGGCAGTTACGGCCTCCACGGCCATGGTGTTGCGCCCTCGGACAAACTCGAGAAGGAATACTACGAGAAGCATCCTGAAGCCCTTAAGAGGGAACATCAGACTCCTCTGCATGACCGTCAAAATGACTTTGCCATGAGCAAGGATGACCTGAACAAGCTCGTCAGAGACACGCGATCCCGCGGTGCCGGCTTAGGTAAGTTGCGAGTCTATTTGTGCTCGCACTAGCTAATGAGATGCAGGCACATCTGGTTATCAGGCTACGCCTACTGATGAAGTTGGCTTCCAGGCCAGCGAAGAATATACTTCCCGCCTTTCTCCCCGACCCGCTTCCATCAGTGAAGGCAAGGTCCAGCCTTTGTCGTTCAAGTCGGAGATCACTGGCCCCGATGGTGAACATACTGTGCACGTTGACGACCCTAAGCACCCAGAGTACCGCTCGTATGGTAACGAGGATCCTGCTGTAGACGAGGAGAACCATGAATACACTGCACCCATTTTGGCTGCCGACGAAGTCAAGAATGATGATTCTTCTTACAGCCAGCGTCCTGCTGTTCATCCTCCCGCCGACCGTCGAGGTAGCGGTGACTTGGAGGAACCAACAAGTCGACCTCTGAGCAGGTCTAGCAGACCCAAGAGCAGACCCACCAGCATCTATAAGAACAACGACTCTCAAGAATTTGCTCCCACTTCTCTGGACGACGTGGAAGAATATGAGCCTCTCTTCCCCGAAGAGGGTAAAAAGGAAGCTCAGAAGCCAGCACCTGGCAACAAGGCACGACACTATTTCCCTAGCAAGGACATTTGGGAGGATGCCCCAGACAGCGTGCACTTCACTGTTGAGGTTTCCACACCCGATCAGGCGGAGCAGGCAGAGCAGACAGAGGAGCCTCGACGACGATCATCCGCAATGGATCGTCCTAAAACCCCAGCTCATATCTTTGCTCAGAGACAAGAGGAACTTGCCGAGCAAGAGGCACGCGGTCCTGTGGATATTCAGCCCCCTAAGAACCACGACAAGCCAATCTGGTACGAATCAAAGGAATCTGATTCTTTCCTGAACAACAACAAGAGACCTTCTGCTAGTCAACGATTCCCTAGCAAGGATATTTGGGAAGATGCTCCCGAGAGCCAGCTCTACGAGACTACCATCTCTGATACCCCGGAACCCGAGTTTGAGGAGGAAACTAAGGAGGGACTTACGGAGCAAAACAAGCCTTCAATTCCGGAGCGACGGGCTAGAAAGGCATCTGAGGATCGTCCTGCAATCCCAGAGCGACCTAAGCCCAAGCATACGACAAGCGATGAGGGCAAATCAAAACCTCCCGTGTCTGACAAGCCAAAGCCTCAGATCCCTCCTCGGCCTACAAAAGCCTCATCAGGAGACTCGGCAGAGCCCAAACAGAAGCCTCCCGTGCCTAGTCGACCTGCTGGTAGCAAGATTGCCGCCCTTCAGGCAGGCTTTATGAGCGATCTGAACAAGCGTCTCAAGTTAGGGCCCCAGGCTCCCAAGAAGGAGGATACCCAGCCGCAAGAGGATTTGACGGAAGAGAAGGAGAAGGCCCCGCTTTCGGATGCTCGCAAAGGTCGAGCCCGGGGTCCACAGCGCCGAGCTCCGGCAAAGAGCCCTGCTGCTCCGGCCGTGCAGTCTTCAGGTCCTTCTTTGTCATTCTCAACTCCCCAGACTCTCTGGTCTATCGATCCCGAGGGCTCTCTGTCAGTGTCCGGTGAACAGACTCCTGTTTCTGAACCAGAGCCAGCGGTGGAAAAGACCGAGGAGCCCGTCGCTGAGCCCGTCACTGAGCCCGTGACTACCCAAGAACCGTTGCCGAAGTCTGAGCCTAATCTGGAGCCCAAGCCGGAGCTCCGATCAGAGCCTGAATCTGAATCAGTTCCAGTGCATAGGGACCCGGAACCCGCAGCGGGAAAAGTACCTCAAGAAGCTGAGCCTGAGCTCCCTGCACAGCAACCTGCTGTGGAACCATCCCCAGACCCTGCTCCAGAAGCGTCTCTTCAAGAACCCGAGCCTGAGCGTGAACAAGAACACGTCCGAGTTGAGAAGAGTCTCGTTACGAACACAGCTGGTGAGAGTATCCTGGAAACCACTGTGGACAAGACAGGGGGAGGTGATGCAGTTGAGCCTGTTGCCGTATCGGATGAAGTTAAGCAGTAAATAAAAGAATGACAGCAGGCGTGTCGAGGGGGCTGTGGGTATATCATAAATGGATGAGCTGGCAACGTAATCAGAATTGAATCTGTTTTCAGCGATATCAAAAAACGAATCACAGCAACCACTTATTGAATAATGCTTTCTTCGTTTGTGCTACATGAAAAATACATACAAGGTCATATGCAGTCTTTTTATACAAAGCTTACTCTACTTGCGCCCCCAGGCCTTCTCCTGATCAACGCCCTTCCTTTCTCTTTCAACAAGTCGATCGAATTCGTCTTGTGCCTGTTCTTTTCCAGCTGCCCTCTCCTCATCCGATTTGCTGAAAGAAAAACTGTCACTGGAGCTACCAGAGGACCTGCTGCCCCAGACAGATTGTGATTCTGGCAGAGATCCGGTTTGAGAACGGGCAGCCCAGGTACGGGACTGGGAATCAGATTGCTGGGGCGGCCCTTGCGATTGTTGGCGTATGCGCTCCCACGCAGAACCAGCAGGAAGAGATGCTGCTTTATTGCGGGAAGAGGCAGCAATTGGTGAAGCATCATCATCATCATCATCTAAAACGCTCCAGTCGTCATTGGGTCTTTGACTTTGTTGCGTTGTGGTCGAGGATTGAGCCTTGTCCCAGGACTGGGTGGCGGTGGGCTGATATCTACTCTCAGAGCTGGTGTTGCTTGAATCATCACTGGCCCAAGGGTCGTTCTCATCACTTTTATGCACATCCCTACCTGTGAAAGGTGCTCTTGAGATGGTTGGGTTGCTCATTACGTCCTTGACACGCTCGGCTGCATCTTTGGTGAACTGTTTCAAGCGGGGATCATTTGTCATGGCAGCTTCGGTTCGAATGAAACTGACAGCCCTGAATGCGGGCTCAATCATGAGCATTATGACAGCGGCGTAAGCAGTGAATCGAAGACAATGCCATGTTGCGCGAGGGTAAGCTCCACGGATCTTCTTGTTGGTGAAAATGCTAGTAGCCTCATTTGGGTTAAATCGGCCGCCGAGCTTGGGCTTATAGAAGGGGAATTGCCATGTACGGCGACCACGATAGGTCATGTATCCAGCGAGTGCGACGCTCAGCCACTTTAAACCGGCATTGGTGTGGATGTTGTCGAGGGTATATTCGGCAATGGCTTTTGCTTCCACATCCTCAAGATCTCGACCTAGAGTGGCAGCGAAGCCAGAGACCCGGGACGTCGCAACAAGAATATTCCAATCACGACGGTAGCCAATTAAAGAGGCATAAAACGGGGGAGAGTATTCTTGAAAGTATCGAGTGACTTGTTCTTTGACGCGGGGTTCATATTGGTTGCGCTGGGCGAGTGCCGACTGGCGCCATTCTTCCATAGAGTGCTTGTAGCTTTCGCGAGACTGGGCAGGGCCAGCGCCATTGGGCTGAGAATTCATCGCAACCGAGTTTCTTGAGGTTGGAAGGACAGTGATTCAGAGTCGGAGCAAGCGTTGTGAGGTAGTGTTTCACTGATTCATCGGCTCGAGATCATCAAATAACGGATTTGGCGGGACCGAAAATGGTGACGCTCTGAAGCCTGGTCCACTGACGCACATGCTGTTAACTAATGGTGGAGTCGGGTAGCTTTGGAGATGACATGGATGCGCTGCAGCTCCAACCACGCTAAAAGCTTCTCCACGTGACCTGGTAACAATAGCTGCAAGGGGTCGCGAACATCGCGACGCGTTTGCCCATTAATTAAACGCGTCTAACTACTTCCTCCACTTCAATTCAAATGTCCCACTATCACCTTACTTGACGGGTTTGGAAATCGGAATGTTCAAGCCCTGGTAGGTATAATGCCTCTACAAAAATCCTACTCGGATCAAGTTGGTCGAACTAAGGTAATGGAAAAAACCACTTATACATACAGACACAAAGTTGAGCATCACTAACGGTTACAGCGCTTGCCATGGCAGCGATCGAGGAGCAACCCCGTTCAACAAACACCAAACCCTCGGGCACTCCAGCCTGTGTCCGAGGTGACCAAGAACAAACTTAATAAGTTTCAGTATCACCCCGTGAATGGCGAAACAGCCACAGAGGGCACAGAAAACGACCAGAATGTTTCAAACAACCGAATCAAGGACGATACAACGACCACACCCGCTACTCGATTGACCTGGCAAGAGCTGCTTGAACCTGCAGGTGGTACCGAAGATGACACAACAACATCACCGAATGATCGGCTACTCTGGGACAACCGACAGGATACGTTGTACATGCCAGCATTGTCTCCCATGTTGAACCGCAAAGGAAGAAAGCGTGCTAGGAGCTCATCGCCTGTTTCGTCTCCGGTAGCGGACAAGTCCAATAATCCCTCGGTAAACGTAAGGAAGCTGGCGCAAGCCCTCAAGTCACCACACGCGGATCCAACACTGGAATTATGGGACCGGTACTCGCTAAACGGAACCGACAACGCAGGTAGCCCTCTGGGACTTGCAAACCCTGCACTTGCACAGTTGATGGTATCGTCTTCGCCACGGCCATCGAAACCAACGGTTGGCGAATCCAATCTCAGACGAGCAATAAGTTGTGGCCTGAATTGGCCCAAAAGGAGAAGGGTGGAAAGATCAACTTCAGGTAGTCGCCTGAGCACCGAGATGGAGGAGATGGAGGCATCCAAGTCTTCAATGGTAAATGCACTGCTCGATACGGTGACTAGTAGCATCAACGGACCAAGTGAGGAGCCCCACGAAGAGCCCCAAGATGGTCCAGAATCTCCTTCTCCTAAGAAGAGGCGGATATATACCACTAGCAGTGGCTCTCCACGCCTCTCAAAAACCCAAGCCAGGTCTCAAACGCCTGCACAACACCCTGCGCAACCGCATGTCCAAGTTCCGGCTCAACCTCCAGTTCAATTGCCACCTCCAGAACCTGCTTCCTCGGACTATGGTGATGATGACTTTGACGAATTTGATGACGACACCATAATGCAACTTGAAGCCAGCATCAACACTACTCAATTGGAAACGAATCCGCTACCAGAGGTAGTAGCAGCCGAAAACGATCCAGTATCCGAGACGGATCACAAGACACCGGAAAATTTTGATGGCAAGCTGGACGAGTTTGACGATTTGGACGATGACTTCTTCGACGAGGCAGAAGATCTCATTACTGCGGACTCTCAACAAGTATCGCAGGCTCTAGCAACAACAGAACTTGACGACTTAGACGATGAATTTGGAGACGCATTTGGCGGAGACTTTGATTTTGAAGCCGTGGAATTGGCCGCAACACAAGCAGCCCAGAACTGCTCCGGAGACGTACGTCGAACAACCTAGGAGGATCCGCCATATGCTAAGTAACAGGTAGAGCCGGAAACCAAGAACAATCCAACGATACCTGGTAACGAATGTCTTGGAAGGCGAGTATACGGACCAATACGGACATGCACGACCAGAAAAGGTAAACCAGTCGACAATCATGCTCGAATATTACTGATTCGCAATTTCAGATTCTTCTCATTCAGGCCGACAATTCGAAAGATATCAAGACGGTTCACCTGAGGGCCTCATGGTTTGATACACCAGCCCACGCAGAAGCCTACGTTCACATTATAGGCGATTTCTCTTTAAGAGGTCAATGTATCGTTGACGATGGCCAAAATCTTCTTATTCTACACCCTGATCAACTTATATCCGCAACTGTGGTGGCTGATTCGTTCGGTTGCATGCGCCGTGCTGTGCTGCAAGATCGAGTCAAGGCCACCAGTCCACCAACACCACCCCTTATCTATGGAACAATGCTACACGAAATCTTTCAAGAGGCCCTTCTTGCTAACAAGTGGGATCTCCCTTTTTTATGCGCCGTTATCGACCGGATAACAGAAAAGCATGTCGAGGACCTCTATACTATTAAAGTTGGCATACCTTCAGCTCGAGAGCATCTGCAATCGAAAATGACCGAGTTGAGTTACTGGGCTGGGGCTTTCGTATCCTCCCGCCCAAAGGAGGATGCGGTAGTCGAAGACCGAAACGGGAAAAAGGCAAACATGGCCGTTACCAAGCTCTTGGATGTTGAGGAACACGTGTGGTCCCCAATGTACGGACTCAAGGGCAACATCGACGCAACGGTTGAAGTTGCAATGCAAGACGGAAACGATATTCGGACTTTGACTGTGCCTTTTGAGGTCAAGACGGGTAAACATGCAAACAGTAACCATATGGCTCAAACAGCGCTCTATACTTTGCTCTTATCGGACCGTTACGATATTGAAATCGCGTATGGAATTCTCTACTATATGGAAACATCCAAGACGATGCGTATTCCCGCAATCCGACACGAGCTTCGACACATGATCATGCAAAGAAATCAACTAGCATGCTACGTTCGAGAAAGAAGCGTCCAGTTGCCACCAATGCTCAAGAGTAAGCACATGTGTGGAAAGTGCTACGCCAAGACATCGTGTTTCATCTACCATCGACTCGCTGACGACGGGGATGGAGACTCGAGTGGAATGAACGAGAAATTTCATGAGCTCGTCAAGCATTTAACTCCTCATCATCAACAATTCTTCATCAAGTGGGAGAATTTACTGACTAAAGAAGAGAAGGAGAGTCAAAAAACCAAAAGAGAGTTATGGACAATGACTAGTGCTGAACGAGAAAAGAAATCTCGATGCTTTGCAGATGTCATCATCGAAGAGGGATCGGCTTCAGTCGACACGGATAACCCTAGGATCAATCGATACCACTACACCTTTGTCAAGCGAGTTCAAGTCTCAGGATTCTCATTCCTGGAGTCTGAGTTGTCAGTCGGAGAGCCAATTGTGGTCTCTGACGAGGAGGGCCATTTCGCCTTGGCCATAGGCTACGTTACAGCAGTCAAGAGGCAACGAATCAGTGTCGCAGTTGACAGGCGACTCCATAATGCCCGCATTCGACAACCTGGATTTGATGAAAGTGATAACCAGATTTTTGCTAGCATTATGGACGTTGCCCATGAGGGGGCGACCCAGGATGAGGCAACAGGCAAAATTAAAGAGGCCCCTATTCGCTATCGGCTCGACCAAGATGAATTCAGCAATGGAATGGCGACTGTTCGTAACAACCTCGTCCAGATGATGGCAGACGATATCGTGGGATCACGGCAAATTCGACGACTGACTGTCGATCTAGAAGCACCAAGATTCAAGACTGCACCCACTCAGTACATCGTATCGGATCGAGATAGCCTCAACGTTGATCAACATCGAGCTATCGAAAAAGTCATGAGTGCTCAAGACTACGCACTTGTTCTTGGAATGCCTGGTACTGGAAAAACAACAACCATTGCTCATATCATCCGCGCCTTGACATCTCAGGGGAAGAGTGTGCTTCTAACATCGCATACACATACTGCTGTGGACAACATTCTGCTCAAACTCAAGGCTGACAAGATACCTATCCTTCGTCTGGGTGCCCCCGCTAAAGTACACCCCGACGTCCGGGACTTCGCTATTCTTGCAGGCCACCCGATGAAGTCGTTCGATGAGATAAAAAATGCATGGCACGGGACACCAATCGTCGCAACGACATGCCTTGGTATCAACCATCCCGTCTTCCATGAACGTTCCTTTGATTACTGTATCGTGGACGAGGCATCACAAATTACCCTGCCCATCTGCGCTGGTCCGATCAGAATGGCTCGCACTTTTGTCCTTGTTGGTGACCATAATCAACTCCCTCCCGTGGTGAAGAACGAAGAAGCACGCCAAGGCGGTCTTGATGTCAGCCTGTTCAAACTCTTGTCCGACACTCATCCCGAATCGGTCGTCAATCTGGAGCATCAGTATCGTATGTGTGAGGATATCATGACCCTGAGCAACACTCTCATCTATAATGGAAGGCTTCGGTGCGGTACAGAGCAGCTTCGAAGGCGGAAACTTGAAGTTCCACGAATGGAGGCTCTAATGCAGCGACATTACGATGCATCGACCATCAATGCGTCAACTCCTCGTTCGTTCTGCGCTGCCCCCGGCCCGAATCGATGCTGGCTATATGACCTTCTCGATAGCGAGACACGCGTGCGTTTCGTTAACACCGACACAATACAACCCCCCGTTCGTGAAGAAGCCCAGGGCAAACGAATCGTCAACTCAGCTGAAGTCCGTATCGTTTCTCAGCTCGTTGACAGCCTATTGACAGTTGGAGTTCCAGACTCCGAAATTGGTGTGATGACACACTACCGAGCACAGCTTTTTATGCTCAAAGACAAGCTCAAGATGTTCTCTGGAGTAGAGATGCACACAACAGATCGTTTCCAGGGACGAGATAAGGAGGTGATTGTCCTCAGTCTCGTCCGAAGCAATGAAGCGTGCAACATTGGAGACTTGTTGAAGGATTGGAGACGAATCAATGTTGCTTTCACACGAGCCAAAACGAAGCTCCTCGTTGTTGGGAGCAAATCGACACTCAAGGGCAGCGGCAGCGACAGTATGCTAAGTCAATTCATATCTTTGATGGAGGACCGGAATTGGATTTACGAGATGCCCGCCAACGCGCTTGTGAACCATTATTTTGACGACTTTGGTACACAGATCACAGCTACAGGCCCTACGCAAAGGATTAAATCACCACGGAAGAAAGCTTCTGGAAAGGAGAATCGCAGGCGTTCACCGAAAACGGCCAGGATTAGCGACAAGGCGTTATTAAAAGGGAAACTTATCACGAGGGACATCTTGAACGAAATGACCAACGGCGCATATGTTTGATTAGCGGAACTGGTTTAGCATTGCATTGCATGGATAGGATAAGATCAATATAGGATCAATCAAAGCCGCTCAGGCGATACATCAGTATCTTCATCGCCCTCTTCTATGGATTTCGCGGGGCGCTCGAACCTGTTCTTGTTAACTAACAATGATCCTGTGACTGTGGATAATGACTCACTTCTTTTCTCCTACTATGAGCTTTGTGAACCGCTCCAACTCTTCCAACTGGGCCACACAGCCAGTAAGACTTGCATTGTATGAGTAGCTATAGATATCACTCCATGTCTTCTGCCGCTCAAGCTCATATCCCTCAGTATCTTCCTCCATTTCCCTGGCCAGTTCGGCGGTTCTGTGAAGGAGCTTCTTTCTTGCTGCAGCAGCACTCGGTAGATAGCGCTTCGTGGTTGTTAGCAGGAGCCATCACATGCGAGCTTTCACACTTACAGGAACTTTGCGTTCGGATCGCAATGCTACGGCGAGGATGTACAGGTTCCCGAGGATAGCAGCCACTGCATCACGCCGGTAGCTATGTAGGTGCCCAGCAGCCACGGGATTATCGCGGATGTAGTTTGGGTTGTAAAAGAGAGCGGACTGTCGAACAGCGATGAGATACTCGAAGAATCGCTCGCATGAGGCAGCGAGACATGAGTAAGGAATTGGATCAAAAGGACCCCGAAGACGAATTTCATGACGTGACATGACGAGGAGTTGTCGGATTCTGACAAAGCCTTCACGCATCCGACTTTCGAGCATCTCGGATCGTCTGATAGTCTCAGGGGTCGGATCCTTACCCTCGTCGAAGTAAACATAGTTTGCAACAACATCTGACGATCAGCAGAGTCTCCGAGAAAAGATAAACAGACTTACTTCTATACATTATACTCATGTATAAAATCATTGAGGACAGTGCGGTCCGTAGCTCGTGTCGAGCGATGAAAGGCCAAAGAATCCAATTCACAATGATGGGCGCTATAGTGCCGATAAGAAATACCAGGCCCTTATAAACACCCTGCAGTGCAACAGAAGGTCCAAGACTGTCGTCTCGCAAAGTGAGAGATATGACGGTGAAAGACAGACAGCCAACAAGACCGGATCGCTTTATTCAAGTTAGCAATGCTCTGGAACTCAAAGATTAAACGTACCGGATGAGTGCTCTGGGTAAAGCGGTATATCATGGGAATCATGTATATAGCAGCGAAGACTGCTAGGACATATGGGTTCCCACCACTCGCAGCATGTGCTGCACCACTCCACGCAGCACCGAGAATGGCTGCAAAGGCACGAGTGAAAAAGTCCTGAATGTTGCCCCCTATGCGAGGGTGGATCATGATCCATCCCACAGCGACAGCCCACCATGCATCATAAAGCGTTTTCCAGATAGAGGCGCTTTCAAAACAACAAGGAAGAGATAGAGCTGAAAGGAGAAGGACGACCTTCATTGCGTACTTTGTTTCAAACCCCTGGGAACGTCGCAAGAGTTTCCATAACTTATAACCCAACCTATCTTTACGCACCGCGGGACTGCCATGAATGATCGACTCGATCACTGTACAGTCTTCTGGTTCAGTGACTGCCTCATAGTTATCACGAGGATGATGCTTCTCGGATGATCTTGTTGTCTCTATCAGTTTTGCGATCTCCGCAAATGTCGCTCGATACATTCCGGCGGTGACGCCCCCACGATCGTGTCTGACCTGTGAGTTGGTTCTGTATAGAGCTTTCCCGAAAGGATATACAGGAAGATTGACGCGTATGCTTCTAGAGCTGGTATGCATATCCTGAACCATGGTCATGAGGTTGACAACAGTTCCTGCTGTTTCGCGGACATGTCTCGCGAACACAAGAAATTCAACAGCCTGTCCGTGATCGGCGTACGTTTCGGGCCTGTCGTTAGATCTCAGGAGATGATCTTCCGCAGTATCGAAGGCTACAAGGCTGTTTTGCATACGCAATTGGACAGGAATGAGGTCAGACGAAACGTCCTTAGGGGGACCAAAGTGCTTTCGCCAGCCTGTCATATCCATGAGTGCAGCATGACATGTCTTCACACCTTCTGACATACAATTGATGACTTCCCTAGTGGGAACCGACAGAGCCCGAGCCACCTTGCGGCCAGAATCTTCAACCTCGGATTCACTTCCCGCATCATCTGCAACAGTGATCTCAAGAGTGTCGGACCAGTCCTCGAAAAGGTCTGTATCCGTGTTCATGGAGAGAAGGGCCCTAACCACGCCCTGCACTGAATTACGAAGCTCTCGCACGTCATTTGGACGGAAGCGAGTGATGGTGATATCGATCCTCATATCTCGATAAGCAAGTGACATGTCCATGAACGTTTTGGCAAGACGCCTCCTGAGTCCTGTATCTCTAGGCCTAGGGATAACAAGAGATTCCTAAGCAGTTAGTATGACGATTACTAATAAGAAACAAGTGGACTTGACTCACCTGCATAGTATTAAATGACTTATGAAAGGCGACCGCTAGTAGGCGGTTGCCGGCATCAGGAAAGACGAGACAGTTTACCGCCAGGGCAATTGCTTGACCCAACAGCCAAGGAATTCCGTATTGCAGCGGTTTGTGCCAGGTGAAAGCATTATCATCAGTCAGGCCCAGTGTTGTAAACGCAAGGGCTATGCCTGCACATAGAACAGTCTGGTATAGGCGGATAAAGATCGAACGTATTAAGGCAATGCCGGCAAAGAACACAGCAGAAACAACAATGAGAATCCAACCATACGCCTTTAAAGCATCATTCGTTGATTCTGAAATCAAAATGGCAACATAGCCCCAGGCAAGCCCGGCAGCAGTACCAATGATAGTGCCTACTGTGCCATCAACTTGAGAACCAAAGTTGCGACCTGGTATTAGTCAGTCATCTACCATAGGAAGACCTTGCACCAGTCATATACCATACCTGGATGGTTTATTATGGTAGACACCACCATGATGTGGTCATTGTAGCCTAGCCATGCGTGGACCGGCTGTATTAGACATAAGATATAGGCGATAAAAAAGGCAAGAAACGACTTGAGAAGCTGGATGCCAGCTCTAGTGGTAGCAACTTTGCGCATCACTGATTTGAACTCATGGAGCTGCCTTGGGAGAAAGTGTTTTGCTGATAACGGGTGACTCTTCTCGAATTCCTTAGGTAGAGAAGCTTTGGACCGTTCAACAACCTCATCTGGATCTATCGGGTCCGGCTTTAAGAAGAGAGCGTCGAAGAAGCCATCACGCATCTCGGCGACCCCATACGTCTCCATATTCATTCGATCATCGGAGATAATCTGATCAATCTGCATTATGCTCATGAGCGATGGGCTCCTTCGAGAGTCCAAGCTTGGCCTCGCGAGATAGGCTTGAGCAGGCGAAATAGAGCGTCCTCTAGGAGGTTCATGGTCCAAGGTGAATCTCACGTCTAACCCGGTAGGGCTTAGACTTGGACTATCATCCGCAGATGACTCGGCATCTGTTTGAGTTGCATTTTGAGGGGGCCCCGTGATTCGAGTCCGTTGCCGGCCACGATCCATTTTGGTGAAAGTTATTAGTGGACTGATGCAGTTATGATGGTATATAAGAGAACCCAACTGCGTTGACGATACCGCCTATTGTGTCGCCCTCCAACCCAGGAGACTTGAATTGAATTATATACTGGAGAATTAAGGGTAATTGAAGTCAACGAGCTGAGATAAGCAATTCGTGGCTGTTCTCTATCTTCGTTGCGGTATTCTTGAAGGGATTATTTCGTCACCAAATACTCCGGATTCACTTATAGAAAAGTAGAAAGTAATGCTCTAGAATGAATATGCTTGCAAGAGAAATGCAAAACAAAAAAAAGACCGATTTTAGATGAAATGAGTCCAAAAGGGGAACCGCAGAATCCCAAAGAATGATGCAGGATCCAACTATTGGGTCCCGAATAGATCATGTTTTTCGGGCATCGACAAGGCCGTGCATCACTATTGCCAAGACTGGGGTCGACTTGAGAAGCAGGGATTTTAGCGAAAGAATAAGTTTTCTTGTATAAGTAGAGCTTACGAAACACATATTATCAGCATGGAGCTGAAATTGCACATGAATGACTCCATCATGTAGTTCAATTGAGTTGAGGTTTTAGATAGGGCCAATGCTCTGGTACTGCAGCACCTGCGGAACTCAAACACTCAGATAGACACATAACCTCTGATCAACTGTGCTCTAGTGATGCAGCCAAACTCGGCTTCTAAACAATAATAATTCTTTATGCTCGATATCTCATTCCTCCTTCTATCCGCTTGAATGGGATTGGATGAGGATATACAAAGTGACTAGCCCAACAGGGGTGCGGTGACCACCGGGTCACGTGAACCTATCAAATCGAAGTTCAGCAATTACCTAGGTACGCATTCGTTCAGATCAAACAAACAGTATCACGTCCAACAACGTCACTCAGCCATTGACCTCCCCCCACGCCATCTCATCGCCGAATCGAATTCCCCCTCGAGATCTCGACGATACGGTAAAACATGACCTTTATCCGCGCTGCTGTCGCGCCCCTGCGCGCCACACGCTGCATTCGACAACCCCTCTCCTCCAGAGGTTTCTCCGTGTCCGCCCGACGACAAGGAGGCGGCGGCGAGCACCAATTCGACCCTCCTACCGGCTGGCTCTGGGGTGTCAAGCCTGGTGAGAAGCCCGAGCCCGAGGGTTGGGAGTGGCCAACCTATATTCTGCTTGGCAGCCTTGCCGCCACCGCTGTTGCGCTCGCCTTCAAGCCCGATACTACGTGAGTGATTTGCACTCGGAGGATACACATCGTATTGGACGGATTCTGTCTTGCCAATGGCGAAATTCTGGCTGAGAACTGATGCGGGACATCTACTAACGGCTATACAGTGTCTCTACTTGGGCCCTTGAGGAAGCACGAAGGAGGTTAGAGGAGGAGGGAATCCTGCCCGACCCATCTAAGCAGGACAAGAAGAACTAAGCGGAGGTTACGACATACTTACAGGGGGACATCCGGTCAATTGTACATGTTATTTTGCATTTGAAGAATGGTATTGCTAGAGGTTTTGGTCTTGAGGTATTACTGTCTGTCTAATTAGGACTGTGACACAGCCTCTGACCTTTGCTAGTTTCGCTGATTGTGAGCCTTAACAAGCAATTGTGGCAAAGCAGATGAATGTTCTCGTAAACCTGAGCGTGAGCGTAATTATTTTGATTCCGATCTATCTATTCCCAGCCGCTATATAACGCCATATACACAACCACTCTAAATAGTGTAACTCCATTCATGCTCCTCATCACCATACTGGATGGCTTCGATCCATTCCTTCATCTTGAGGGCGATCTCACCAGACTCCTCGAGCTCAGAAAGACCGCAGTCAACGAGCTTGCCCTTCCATGAGATGGATCGGACAGGGCTGACAATAGCTGCAGTTCCAGCACCAAAGGCCTCGAGAAGACGGCCCTCTTCAGCGGCCTCAGCAAGCTCCTTCATTGTGTACTTGCGCTCGCTGATCTTCCAGCCCTCAGGTTCAAGACGCTCCCGCGCGAGAGCGAGCACTGAATCACGAGTGACACCCTCAAGGATAGTTCCGTCAAGGGGAGCGGTCACAAGCTCCTTCTGGCCAGTCTCCTTGTTCTTGAGAGCAACGAACATGTTCATAGTGCCGACCTCGGTGACGTACTCCTCCTCACCGAACAGCCAGAGATTCTGCTGAAAGCCACGGCTGGCAGCCTGGAGCTGGGGAACGATGCAGGGCGCATAGTTGGCGCCCAGCTTCTTGTCACCAACACCACCGGGCCAAGCACGAACAGCGTAATCAGTGGCCTCGAGCGACACGGCCTTGAAACCGGTAGGATAGTAAGGACCAACGGGAGAGGCAATGACGTAGAGAAGAGCAGATCCGGGAGGTCCGACACCGAGTGTCTTTTGGGTTCCGATCATGGTGGGACGGAGGTAGAGGGAGTATCCCCGCTTATCAGGGATGAAGCGGGAGTCGAGCTGAGCGAGCTTGGAGATGAGCTCGGTGAGGGCCTGGGGTTCAAAGGTAGGGAGCGCAATACGCGCGGCAGACTTGTTGAGTCGCGCCATGTTCTTGTCAGGTCGGAAGAGTCGCACTTTGCCGTCTTTGTCCTTGTAGGCCTTCATACCCTCAAAGCACTCAAAGGCATAGTGGAAGACACATGTCGCAGGGTCGAGTGAGAGGTTCTGGTAGGGTGTGATCTTGGGCTCCAACCATCCTTCGTCTTGATTCCATTCGATCGCAAGCATGTGGTCTGGCAAAGTTTTAGCTTTTGTGCAGGGCGCATCTGGTGGGGGGTTCGTTTACCTGTGAATTCCCTTCCAAAGACGAGATCCTCGGGCTTGCTGAGGCCCTTGGGCTTCCCCGTCTTCTCAATACTGAGTTTTGAAGCATCCAAGCCTAGAGGCTTGATGGTAGAGGCAGCCTCAGCCTTGATGCTGAACCGTTGCGCATGGCATAGCGGTCTCAAGCTCGACATGCGAGCGCTCCGTAAAGCGGAGCGGATAAGCAACGGTCTCATCATTGATGCGTTTGTGAAGTCAATTGACAATAGAAAGTTGAATTGGCGAAATTAGGTACTCAACATAAACTGAGGAACAAAATGGTAAAGGTTCAAAGATGGGGAGCAATAACCTGTGGTGTCGAGACTTGGTGGGATATTAACTTAAGTACTAGGGGCAATTGTCTATGGTCGGAGTTGTATCGGAGGTTCATGATAGAAAGATTGCAAATTGGCCGACTCAATAGGCTCGCTGCAAAGTGAGCCCGAGGTACTTTACAGGGACAGCCGCCTCCAGGCGGTCACAACCGCATTGGGCCGTGGATGAGTCGCCTGGGAAAGTCACTTAAAGTTCCGTGAACGCAGCTGTCGACGCCCTATCAAGTTAGGTAGTGATACAGGGGCGCAATGGGGGACTGATCTGACATTTAGCAGCAGGAGCTGGAGCTGCCTACCTAGACGTTATCAGCTTATCGTGGGGCAGCTAGGCTTGGCTCCTTGAATGGTAAGGATACGTGGGTTATTTGTCAATCGCGAGGCTACCCCTACACATGGATAATGCATCGCGACCAACGTCATTTCCATTCCCAATCCTATTGTGGCCTAAGCGAAGCGATCGTCGACCCTTGTATCATTCATCGTCACCAAAGAATTTCGCATTGCGAGCCTCCAACAACAACAGCGGCGGCTAAGCGCAGCACTTGCGACTTGCGACCCCTTTTGAGTTCGACCTAACGTTTGCGATCCATGGAGAGCTGTCACCATGTTCTCCTCGGCCTTTAAGTCCATCTCTGCCACCAACATCACAGGCAACTACTCCATCTCTTCAGCACCGACTTCGACGGCTGGTCCTTGGAAGATATACGATGCGAAGAAGAAGTCTACCGGCAAACCATACAGTGTCTTTGTCTTTGATCGGAAATCCTTAGACAGCCATGGTAGCTCGTTGGGCCGCTCTGGTGCAGTCTCGTTCAAGAAGACGGTTGAGGAAGTCGTCGAGCGATTAAAGAAGGAAGCGTCGAGTCTCGCGAAGCTCAGACATCCCAATATTCTCGAGTTGGTGGAACCAGTGGAGGAGACAAGAGGCGGAGGTTTACAGTTCGTGACAGAGTCTGTTACAGCTTCATTGTCCAGTTTACTGCAGGAGAAAGATGAACAGGAACGAGCTGGAGGCCCCGGGGGCAGATCGAGTCGATACGTAACAGAGGACGCAGATGGGACAAAGAGACGAAGAGAGCTCGAGATCGATGAGTTGGAGATCCAAAAGGGCTTGCTCCAAGTTAGCAAAGCTCTCGAGTTCTTACATGAGAATGCTGGTATCGTCCATGGCAACCTTACTCCAGACGCAGTTCTCATCAACGCAAAGGCATGCTCTCTAAGGCTGGTCATGGGAACTCAACTAACACATCACAGTCCGATTGGAAGATCAGTGGACTAGCATTTGCTAGTCCCCCTGAGGGGTCTGACAAGCCAACATCTATTCAAGGAATTAACTTGTATGAAGTTCTCAATATGGACCCCCGACTACCAAAGGCAGTGCAGCTCAACCTCGACTATTCTTCACCCGACTTTGTAGTCGATAACAACCTCAACTCTTCTGCAGACATGTTCTCCCTAGGACTCATGTCAGTCGCCCTATACAACTCACCCCACAGGTCCCCTCTTGAATGTCACGGCAGTTTATCTACATACAAGCGACTATTTTCTTCATCTTCTAGCGTTCCATCCGCCAGTAATAACTATCTTTCATCACGGCCCCTCCCTAGAGAACTTTCGCATGATGTTCTGCCTCGGCTCATCACAAGACGGCCTGCTCAGCGAATGACGGCACGCGAGTTTCAACAGAGCGAGTATTTTGATAACATTCTGGTGTCGACGATTCGATTTCTTGATTCATTCCCCGCCAAGACTGCAAATGAAAAGGCTTCTTTTATGCGGGGACTTAACAAGGTGTTACCCTCGTTTCCCAAGTCTGTGATGGAGAAGAAGATTCTACCGGCATTGATAGAGGAGCTCAAAGATCGAGATCTTCTTTCACTGATCCTGCAAAACGTCTTCAAGATCCTCGATCTCCTACCATCTGCCAAGAGGGCGTTCAGTGAGAAGGTCCGCCCAGCATTGAGAGAAATCTTTGTAGTCAACGCCAAACAGACACAAGAGAAAGATCCAGCCAGGGACGCCGGTCTCATGGTTGTTCTTGAACATATATCATCCATTTCCAGCAACTGCTCTGGGAAGGAATTTAAAGACGGTAGGTTCAATCAGTAGAGCTGGTCAACATGGTGCTAATTGTCTCAGACATGCTCCCGGTCATAATGGCAGCAATTGAGTGCCCAACACACTCAATTGTTGATGCTGCTCTACGTAGTCTGCCTGTCGTACTACCGGTTCTCGATTTCAGCACAATAAAGAATGAGCTGTTCCCAGTCATTGCCGCTGTTTTTAGCAAGACGAACAGCCTTGCTATTAAAGTCCGTGGACTGCGAGCCTTTGTAATACTTTGTGGCGGAAAGAACGATAATGGCGAAGATGACGGGCTCAATGGCCTGGAAAACAAGAAGACGTCATCTTCAAGTGCCTTGGACAAGTACACTATGCAGGAAAAGATTGTCCCACTCATTAGAGTGATCAAGACGAAGGAACCTGCCGTTATGATGGCAGCCCTCAACGTACTATGGGTGGTGGGCTCAGTAGCTGATGCTGAATTTGTTGCAATGGAAATTCTGCCCATTCTCTGGAGCATGAGTTTGGGTCCACTCCTCAACTTGAAGCAGTTCCAAGGTTTCATGGAGCTCATCAAGAGTTTGTCTCGAAGGGTTGAGGACGAGCAGACAAGAAAACTCCAAGAACTTGGCGGCCCTTCCAACGGCGCCGCTGCTCCAAGCGAAGATTTCATGGCCTTCGGTGGTGTTACTGGTACAAGCTTTGACCAGAACAATGGAGCTACAGAAGACGATTTCGAGAGTCTCGTCAAGGGACGCATGGGTAGTCCTAGATCGAGCACAGCAACCCCCAGTTGGGATGACCCAGCCAAGTCAAAATCGAGTACGCCCGCGCCCACATTCTCATGGTCGACCCCTCCTCCGCCTACGAATAACCCTGCATTAAAAGCTCCAGCCCAAAAGGCTCCGTCTTTTAGAACCGTAACACCGGATCTCGGTCGTTTCGAGGCTCTCACACCGTCGTCTACTCAGTTCAGTCATCCACTACAGCCTACCCAGACCCAACCCTTCCAACCTCCAGCTCAACTTCAGCAACAACCGATGGCTCCACAGCAGCCTTTGACTGCTTCGACATCCGGGTCATCGATCAATTGGTCTGCTGCTGCCAAAGCTACACCCAGCCCATGGGGAAGCTCCTCTGGGTTCGGTACTAGTGCGTCTACCGGCAACATGGGCTCCTCGATGGCAAACATGTCTCTCAACTCAACATCACGGCAACAGTCGTTTACACTTCCACCACCGCCAGGCAACACATCTACCACGCCCTCTTCGTTCACAATGCCCCCGCCACCAACAACAAACTGGAGTGGTATGAGTTCGATGAGCAACACAACGCAGAACACAACGCAGAACAATACGGGGCAAAAGTCAGGATTGGATAAATATGAGAGTCTGATTTAGGCTTGGTATATATGACAACACTTATAAGACAACATTAGTAAACGGCTGGATATAGATCTGGCTTCGCAATACAATCACGGATAATTGACTAGTTGGGCATGGGCATAGCCACAGCCCCGAGGTCATTCGGTGGCATGGCAAGACTACCATCGGGATAGAAACAGCACATACTTACTATAGGCCAGTTTTTATGATGATACTTGAGAATGATGGAAAATACATCTGTTTGACTAAACATCGGTGTCGTGAATAAATGTCGAGGCCCTGCCTAGACTCATAGGTAATGTATGCAATAAGCTAGGTCTCGCAATCTTTGATATGATTTCTTGTTGGCAGGATGTTCAGCTTCGGAACATAATCAGGCACCAGGTGTGAACTATTGCTTATGATCGTATGGATCACCAACGGAATCAATGTTATACAATAAACTCTATGGACTTCAAGGCACAGACAGATGCACCATCGGGAATAGTAGTTGGGTCGCGAATCTTCAATTTCTGTATTACGATTTATGTACGTGGGCTCTAACCCATAGTCCTGATGCCGTCTCTCGCCCAATTCAACATCTCCACCAAACGCTTTTCCTCACCCATATCTCGTTTGGGGTGTTAGTAAATTAGTCCTGCTCCAAGATATTGAAGCCCTCGAGTTTGTCATTCATACGTAAATGCGGCTAGAAAAGGGGCCGAGACAGGCGAGGGATGAGAAACGCATATCTAAGTAAAGAGAAAAGTTGGTTCAAAAACAGTCAAACTTTGACAGATGAAAAAAGACAACAGACGGTCAGTTCTGTAAACACCCTTACTCCATCCATATCCACCCATTTTAGTTGGCATTGTATCCGATCCTCCAGACGCCATGCCATCCGCTCGCAGCACAGAATGTAAAATCTTATAAAGACGCACAAATGCAGTATTTCCATGTCCTCCTTGGAAATTATTCGATCAGTTGCTCTCACTTCTTGGCCTTCTGCTCCTCAAAAACGTGGCGACTCTTAAAGCCAGGCTCAGTACGGACTTGAACCTTTTGATCCTTGGGAATCATCTCATGCACCATTGGCCAACCCAGACGGCGACATAGTTCAGAGACAACAACATCGCAATCGCCTAGGAGATCAATGTCAAAATTGATGTGATTAACGGCCTGGCGAGATACGTAGATCTGAGGAATATTGGCGGGTAGCCAAGACACGATCTCAGATACAGGCGTAACCTTGAGAGAAGTGCCGATAACGATGACGAGGTCTACCTTGTCGCGATCGTGCTCGGTGAGTCGTCGAGAGAACTCATCGGGAAGAGCCTCGCCGAAGAAGGTGATATCGGGTTTCATGACACCAGCACTGGGGATGTCGTACTCAGACTCGTCGGAACTATCGGCACTCCACCGTCTTCGCTTCTTCTCTGTGCCTGCAGACCGCTTGCGTTTAGGCGCGCCGCCAGTAGTGCGCAGAGTCTGGACACAGCGCGGGCATCGAGGAATCTTGTCAGCCTTGATCTCGGGGAAGATGGCCTCTCCTGGGCATTTGTAGCCGCACTGAACACAGGTGGCGGTTCCGAAGGAGCCGTGGCATTGGATGAGCTTGTCCTTGGGAACGCCGGCCTTGACCTCAAGGTTGTCAATGTTCTGAGAGTAGTTGGTCAAGAGCTTGCCCTTCTCGTGGAGCATGGCAATGAACTTGTGAGTGGGCGTATATCGGTCCGTGCTCGGCAAAATGTCTTTGGCTACCGAGTAGAAAATGGTGGGATCTTGTCGGAAGACACTAATGTCGAAAACCTCTTGAGGATCACTAAGACCAAGGTGCTCCAACTTGGAGTACAGACCAGTTCCCTTAGAACGGAAGTCAGGAATGCCCAGGGATGTAGAGATACCAGCACCAGTAATGAGAATGATGTTGTTGCTCTTGGTGATCAGGTCAACAGCATCGTCAACCGTGTTGTGACGCAGAAGCTTGGCGCGTTTAGACAGTTCACGCGTGATAGCGAGCGACAGTAAACTGAAATACGCATCGTCAGGCTGACCCTCTAGGAAGGGAGGAGGACGAATGCCAAAGGCGCTGAGAAGTTTTCTGGCGGTATAGTGACCAGCATCAACAGTGCGTTGACAAAAGACTGTTGGGCCATATTCTCGGAGCTCCCGACGAAGTCTGCTAGCTTCTTCAGGTGTGCACACTTTGGGGTCTTTTTTGGGGGGAGAATGTGGTTAGCAATCTTGGAGTAGAGTGCATAGATTGGGGCGATCTCAAGATAGGATAGATAGAATAGGGCATGACTGAGTAGACAAACTCACCATCAACGGCCACGGTATTATCAGCGTTCAACTCGTCGAAAGCATCTTCAAACAAAGAGTCTGTCTCCCACGATTCTCTGACATCGGCAACTCTCTCCTCGAGTTCAGCAAGTGCAACGTTGGCCTCTGCAATCTTGATCTCGTCTTCTGTTGGGTTATCACCCAACTTTTCAAGAGCATTTGGTTGAGCCTTTCGCTTGGAGAGAGCAACAGTTCTCCCGTTGCCTTTTTTTGTGTTCATGGTAAAGAGTATGAGATTTTGTACAAGCAAAGAGACGAGAAACGAAGTGAGGAGAAGGGGATATTAGGGTTTGCAAACGGTTGACAGTGGTGAAATATCAGAGGCTGGTTTGATCTCCTACCTAAGGTAGGTACTAATGGAAGGAAAAGTGGTGTAAATGCAAATGTCCAAGGTAAAGGGAAAGGAAAGGAAGAAAGCGGGTCAGAAAGACGAGGGTGGCATCTATTATTAACCCCAGATCGAGAACCGAACCATGCAGACGGTCCTGGTTGGCTTGGCTTGGCTTCTGGATACTACCCAAGGTTGTGAAAGAGAAAAAAAAGATACTTGGCTTATTAGTGCCGTGGTAGACTCGGTGAGGAAATGTGTTGAATTCTGTCAAACGCTCGACTGAGAATGGGAATTTTACGGTAGAGTTGTCGAGGGGGCGGGTGATTGTGAAGAGAGAATGAGAATCGTTTCAGCTTGATTGAGAGAGAGCGATAGGTAGTGAAGAAGCTCATCAGCCGAAAGTGGGTTTCATTTGGTTGTGCGAGTTTCGTGCAATGGGAGGAAAGGAAGATGATGAGTGACAACGTGTGAGGACGAGATTGTGGCAGTTGAACAAGGTAAGGTAACTACCTAGTATATTGAGAGGAAAGGCAAGAAAGATAAGCAAAGAAAGTGATAGAATCTTTCCTTAGCAAGTCTCTGCCTTATTCTTAGGAGAAAGATATCAAGGCACACGATATCGTGATCAAGCCTGATCAAACATAAGTAATCTGATTCGGTGTAATATCGCCTTTTGCTTTCTCGCTTTATTGCCTTTTTCGTTTATGATCCAACAAAGCAAGCTTGGTCGAGGATCAAGGACCCCCAAGGCAGAATATGATCTCCGGAGAGAACGCGATAAAAGAAACAGAGTTGCAGATTAATAGATAAAGGAGAAGAGAAGGAAAAGAATCTCAGATACCGTGGCTGGAATGGAATGATGGCGGCGAGCACTGGAGTGCAGGGGTACGTGATTAATTACAGAGGGGAGAAGTGATAAGTCGGCTACTAACCCAAGGGTACTCGAAACACTGTATAATATAATAAGGTAGAGGCATTGATGGACAAGCAACTCGAGAAACACCCTGAGCAACTGATGAGTGTTCTATTACGAACCTCTCTCGACCTTACTCAGTATTCCTCGTCTATTCTAAACCCATATTACAGACTTTATCCCTCCCCCTTCTCTTCTCTTCGCTTCTGTCTCTGTCATCTCCTCATCTCATATGTACTCGTGTCGCATCATGGGGCATATATATTCTCGCTGATTGGTTGGCTACAATATTGCCTATCAACCACCCACTAACTTAACTGAACCTTCAACTTGACTAGGCCCTTTGGTTTTGTTGATGCCGTACAAACGGCACTGTATTTGAATAAGCATATGCTTTGCTACTGAGCGTTGGCGTCCTTGATACAATCCCATTCTATCTTTGTCTTCGAGTACTCACAATGCATATATATTATAATCCTGTCAGGCTGTCAGCCTCGAGTACGGTAATTATTCTTCTTAATTAGTCTTGAATCTATGACCAACTACTGAATCATCCATTATATTAGTTCCCGCCACATTTAGGTAGATCTTGCCGTCTAGTAAATCTTACTTAACTAAAGGTAGATCATGATTGATACCTTGGCTTTCTTTCCAGTCGCTCACTTAATCCAGCTATCATTTCGTTTTCACAAAGACCTCTTATTGTTGTTCAATCGCTCAAACTCTTCTCATGTTGATTCCTTGCTAACCAGTTCTATCGGTACTCAAAGCAATACTAGAATAAAAAATACCTCGCACGCACTCAATGTTCAAACCAATCCGCAGTACAACAACTACCTTGGTGAGTCACTGTGATCTCCGTCATTGTCTGGCCGCATCTTTGGTTGCCAGCCCGCCGCTACACCTGCTGCCACGATGCCTGCCATCACCGTAGGAGCCCCCAGCGCAGAATTAGACCGTGACCTCGTCGATCTAGGCCTCCTGCCCGAGTTGGGTGTCCCAATCGGCGACCCGTCAAATGGATTCTCCTGGATCGGCGTTTGGGGTGCATTGAGGGAGTTGGATCGAGAATGAGACGGACTTCTAGACCTGACCATCTCAACCGCCTCCTTGGGATGCTGGATTGCAAACTTGAGGTTGTTCAATCGCCCACCCTTCATGCGCCGTATGAAGTTGAGCTCGTCGCGGACATCTGCCAACGGCTCGGGGTACATGCTCATCTCCTCATCAGATACTGTAAGACCAGGCACATTCTTAGCACGTTGCTTAAGGAACTCGGGAACCAAAGCCTCAAGGAAATGGTCAGGAATGAGGCGAATGATGACGCCGACTGGGATAGAGAGAAAGCCAAGAATGATGGCCATGGCCCAGAGCTCGCCACTCTGCTTCTTCTTGGCAATCTGAAAGGCTTCGCCGCCGACGAAAATGATCAGGATCTGGCCACCACAC